CATGGAAACCGCGTGTAGAGAAATTCTTCTACGGTAGCGGCTAAGATAAGTTACCTTATACAAAAGCCCCATTCGCGCAAGCGTCATGAGGTGTGACCGCGTAGTTCCTTACGCGACGAAAAAGGAAGGAAATAAAAGAAAAAAGGTGGTCAAAAGATTCGGTATGATAGAGCATGCCAGCAGAGATTCTTTTTGAGAAATTCTAAAATTAGTAGGTGCTCTGAGGTGTATCACGTCTACATTACGCCATGAAAATGTCTAACCAGGGCAAGCTAGCGGAGAGATTCTTTACGAAATCGCCATATGCTAACCGCTAAATCCCAGCCCCTGAACCGAAAGTGTGAATGGTTGGTATGTCGCGGCATGGTGTGGCCGTGACGTCTAATGAAATGTGTAAAGCCATAATCGGCCTCTTCGAATGGGGGTACACCACCCGGCTGGGCCGAGATGTCCCCCATTCCGTCTGTTCTCACCGCCCTGAGGGCACAAAAACCCGCAGCGCGGCAGCCGAGACGTGCACGCCGGGTGATTGGGAAAAGCCGAGTGAATCAGCGCCACAGGTGCGTATCAGGATAGAATTGAATACGAAGAGGCGTCGCATTACTTTAAAGGTATCGTCAAGGCTAGATTTTCTTAAGTCCATTTAGCCGCGAAAACAAACGTTGTTTTGATGAACCAATTTTTCAAAACTAAATAAGGGAAATGTTTCGAAACGTTTTTTACTAATTCTAAACCCGAAAACTTTACAAATTTTTTATTCAACAGATAAAAAGAAAGGTTTGCGACCAAAAATTGTTCTTGAATCGAAGTTTTTAGGGTAGAAATAATGGAAGTTTTTCTAGACAGTGTTTTACTATTTCAAAACGTAAAAACTTCCCCTCAGCAAAATTTTATTAAAAATAAAATATATAGATTTTTCCACCAAAATGACCGAGTTTTGACCAAATGTCGATTTCTTCAAAACTTTTTACGTTTTTAGATAGTTTTTCCAGTTGAAATCATGGTAAATTTTTCCTAAAAACACTATTAAGACATTTGCTGTTAAATTACTAGACGTTTCTAGACTTGTATAAACAAGTTCGGTCCCCCTGGGATAATGCGAAAGAACCGAAAGAGCTTGTTACGTTTACGTTTCATTACGGAACGTAATTTCGGCCGCGTGCGTTGGCGATCTATAGCCAAAACCGGGCTAAAATGCTCTGCCAATCCCTTTAAAACGACGTAGAATTGCGATAAACGCAGAAATATTTTAGAATTTTGGAAAGCTGTCAATTGAAGCCGGTATTACAACGCTTCCAAATCTGCTAGAACATCATGTAAACCTCAAGGTGAAGCTTTTCATTAATTCAAAAATTATGATTAAAAACCCTAAAAAAAGGAAAATTTATAAGTTTTCAACCTTCGAATCTGCGCGCCAGTCGCTAGTGTCTGGGCCGCGAATTAGGCAGCCGATTGTGAGTGTGTATTTGTTTGGGGGCGCGTCGCGCGATTTCCCTGTTGTGATCGCGTGAGAGAGAGGGCGAGAGAGAGAGAGAGAGAGAGAGAGAGAGAGAGCGAGAGAGAGAGAGAATAAACTGGCGACGGCCAAGAATTGATTGAGGCGAGGGCCACCCCTTCTCTCTCTCCTTCTCCCCCCTTTCTAACCTATCCCAGCAGCTGTCCCCCCGACTGCCCATCAATCTTTTTTGGCTAAAAGTTTTCTAAAACTAGTATTAATATTCTATAACGCCTGCCGAGGGTATATTTGGTTTCTATTTTCGGATTCCCCATGAAAAATCGGGCCCAGCCACGGCGTCGCCGCAGCGACTGAGAAGGTGGGAAATAATTTTTTGTGTTTTAACTTTGTTTTTCCTACTTTCTTAACTTTGTAAATTAATAATCAACGTTTTTAAAACGGCAACTGCTAAGAAAAATAATTACTATGGGAAAATAAATTCATTTTTGGCAACTTTACGGTTTACGGCGAAGAAAATCGCACGTTTTATCTGCTTGTAGGTCTTAGGGTTTATTTCCATGCATTTTGAAACTTGTTGACTATAAAATCAGCTGTTTTACAACCTCTAATGATTTTAATTATGTTTTAATGCAGAAATAAACTGCAAACGCCACGCAAAATGGCATATTTTAGCTGCGTTTAGTTTCAGAAGTGATTTTAAGGCTTTTTAAAACTTTCTAAATTAATAATCAAGGTTTTTGCACGCGTCAATGATAAGGAAATCGCTTTATACTAAAAAAATACACCATTCCGCAAGTTCAAAGTTCACCGCAAACAAAATCACACGTTTTATATGTTTTTAAGTTTCAGAAGTGTTTTTCCTACTTTTTAGGCGTCCTAAACACATATTAAAAATAATTTAACATCAAAAAACTTCAAAATCGCAATTTTCAGGCATTGATGGCCAGCAGCAGCGCAGCCGTCGACCACCAGGCCGTCGTCGGCGACCTGGAAAAAGCAGTTTCGGGCGCTGCTGAGGGGCCGCAACTCGTCGAAACGGAAAAGCGGGCAGCCGGCCGACGCGAAGAAGGAGCTGACGATCAAGCTGCGGTACAAGAGCGAGAATACGAAGGTAGGCAAGGTTTTTGGGGGTCTTGCGAGCTTCTTTGTGCCGTTGTTGAGCAAAAAAAAAGTATATTTTTCTTGAAAAACTATCAAAAACTATATAAAAACTGAATAGAACGATGGAAACGAACATAATTCCATAAAGAAACTATATAAAACCTATATATAACTCGTCAGCAATGTAAACCATTTAGATTTCACTACCAAGAAACGAAAATGGCACCGTCGACTTCTTGGAGTTGGGCGAATACCTGCAACGAACCTACGGGCAGCGGATGAACATGTTTTATACATATGTAGGTCTTGAATCTGCGTTTTCAAACTTGAAAATACATATTTATTATTAGATAGGTTTAAATTTTATTCGAATTTCAGGATTAAAGATGGTGAACCTACGTTTGTAAAGTTCTAAAGCTTAGAAACTCTAGTTTGAGTGTACCTTTTGTAGTTTCTAGCTCTTTTCTCGACAATAACTTATATTATAGAAGTTTTCTTGTAGTATGAAATTTATAAAAGGTATTTTAAAGCAGTTTTGTAGCTTGTAGCCATTTTTTAGCACGGCAGCAACATCATGGTAGCGATCACGAATCAGAAAGAGCTGGACACGGCTGTGCAGGTGGGGGTTTTGGCATGCTAGCAGTGATTTTTGGGGAAAACTACCTAGAAAATACTTTTAAATAGATTTTTCGTTTAGATGGTCGACCGAACGGGGCAGAAGAACCTCTACATCATCCTGTCGATGCACGAGGGCTCGTCTAGACAGCCGTTATCGATGATGCCCGATGAGTCCGGCGTGTATACATTGAGGGTAAATCATGTTTATTCCTTTAAAGGAGTTTTAAGCGGTTTTGAATAGTTTTTGAACTTTTTCTAAAATCCTAAACGTTTTTGCGTGCTTTTTTAGCGATGGAAAAGCCCATAAAAAGTTACGTAGGCTACGAAAACCTTATGAAACTTTATTTAAAAGCTTTATAACAGTTTTAAAGTATGTTTTTATCTAATCGGAAGCTTTTATCAAGTTTTGCCGCTTCGAAAAAGTTGTTGAAAACAAAAAAAAAGAGAAAAAGCGTCTTATTCCTTTTTCATAGTTTTCCTTTTAGTTTTTGCCTTTTTGGCCATTTTTCTTCTGGCAGACCTTGTATTAAACTTTTTAATCTTTTTTAAATGCTTTATCATGCTTTATTTTCAGGTAATCGAAGTGCCCTACACGAACAACACGCCCGAGCCGGCCGTCTCGACGCGAATGCTGAGCGCTGCCAGTTTGGACAGCGGCGCCGGATCGTTTGGAGCTGTGAGTTTGTCTTAAATAGTGAATTGTAGCAGTGAAAACAAGTAGTTAAGCAATTTTGAAAAGTTATCCATGTAAAAATGACAATTCTCCGCTTTTTAGAGCACCTCCAATCAACCGACGCTGCCCGTCAATTGGCGCAAGGGGAGATCGCTGGGTCGTGGAGCTTACGGCGAGGTAAAAAAAGGCTTGCAACCTTTGTAAAACATAACATTTAACTGGTTTAACTAGTGTTATTTATAATAATTACTAATCGGAATATAATACTTTTGTCATCAACCAATTATTGTTATTAAAAGGATATTATGAGTAGTAATATACGTAATATAACGTAAAATTTAGGTATTTGTCGCCTACGACATGGACACGTCGCGTGAAATCTGCCTGAAGCACATCCTCATCTCCTCCGATGAGACGTCGCGGCGGGACCTCAGCTCGTTCGAGACGGACGTCATTCGATTGGCGCAGATACAGTTGGTTTTTATTTTGTCGTAACTCGAGGCAGAATTACTGTATGGGCAGGCTAGCAGGATTCATTGAGGAATTTTGGGGCAAACTAGCAAGGTTTTTGAGGAATTTTAGTCGACCTAGCAAAGATTTCTGTGGAAAAACGTGGCAGGCTGGCAAGGTTTCTTTAGGAATTGTGAGGAGAACTAGCGGAGGTCCGGTCGGAAATGTTTAGCAGTCAAGCAGAGTTCATTGAGGAATTTTGGGCAAGCTAGCAGAGGTCTTTTGGGAATTTTCCGGATCCGCAATGATTTTTCAGGAAAGACAAGGCTGACTAGCAGGGTTTTTTTTAGGAAATGTGAGGCGGGCTGGCCAAGGTCCGTTCGGAAATCGATACCTCGGGCAAGCTAACAGGGTTTATTGAGGAATTTAGGACAATCAGGCACAATTTATGACGAATTTACGTAGTAAAAAGGTTTTTTGAGCAGAAACCTGGCAGACTAGCCATGTTTCTTTAGGAAATGCCAGGCCAACTAGCAGAGATGCTTTAGGAAATCTAGAGGCAATCTGACAAATCCCATTTGCACCTCCCCTGCCATTAATGCTCAATTTCCAGACATCCTCGCCTGGTCCGCTACCTCGGTGTCTCCACGATGCCCACCGACGTGCTGATTTTTATGGAATTCATGACCGGCGGTTCCGTCAAGGTGGGTGGATTTTGACTTGAAGGTTCCTTTAAAAGCTGATATAACTATTTCATTTTTAATTTTATTTGTTTAGGACCTGATCAACCAGTTCGGGAATCTCAGCGAGAAGGTGGCCGAGAAGTACGCGCGTCAAGTGCTCGAAGGGCTCATCTTTTTGCACGAGGAAATGATTGCGCATCGCGACATTAAGGTGAGATTTTGAACGGATTTTAAGAGTTAAAAATTTTGTATTTTTTCACCTAGTTCTGGGATATCTTGCAGGTTTTTTGAAGAAATTTAGGCAACTTTGCGGTGTTTCTTTGGGAAAGGGCAGGCTAGCAGAGATTCTTTAGGAAAGGGCAAGCTAGCAGAGATTCTTTAGGAAAGGGCAGGTTAGCAGAGATTCTTTAGGAAAGGGCAGGCTAGCAGAAATTCTTTGGGAAAGGGCAAGCTAGCAGAGATTCTTTAGGAAAGGGCAGGCTAGCAGAGATTCTTTGGGAAAGGGCAAGCTAGCAGAGATTCTTTAGGAAAGGGCAGGCTAGCAGAGATTCTTTAGGAAATTGGGAGGCTAGCAGAGATTATTTCGGCCGATTAATCGATCGAAATCGATTTTTTTCAGAGCGCTAACCTGATGCGCGACATCAACGGCAGCGTGAAGATTGGGGATTTCGGCTCGGCCAAGCAGCTACAGGTTAGGAATTTAGTTTTTTTTTGTTTTTAGGGTTTGAAAATTTAAATAAAAACTTAAAAGTTAAAATGGAGGTACGGTAATCTAAAATTTTTGCCTTTTTTAGGCTCTAGCCACTCAACGCGGCTCCTGCGGCGGCACCCCGCACTATTTGGCCCCGGAAGTGGTCCTCGGCGAGAAAGAGTGAGTTTTTTTTGGGATTTAAAGAGCTTTTGAAAACAAAAATGCATAAGAATTGGTGAAATTTAATGCTTTTTCAGTGCTGGCCGTCGCGCGGATATCTGGAGCCTCGGAGTGACGCTCGTCGAGATGGTGACCGGAAGTGTGCCGTATCGGGTAAATTACTATTTGCAGTTTTAAATTACTTTAATAATTTTTATACATTTTTTAATCAATTTTTTGAATATTGTGAGTTTTAATTACTTTTTTTAGAAGCTCCCCGACATGGAAGCCACGCTAAAAATTGCCTTCGAAGAGCCACAGTCGGAATTGCCGGAAAAGGTGATTTTTGGTGTTTTCCAAAAGAAATTCTGCTAGCCTCCCGATTTCCTCAAGAATCTCTGCTAGTTGGCTCTAATTTTTGGCCGGAAATTCATAGCATTTTTTCAGATTAATTCCACGCTGCGGACGCTGGCGAGACTGTTGATGACGAAAAACTACGACGACCGGCCGACGGCTCGCCAAATCTGGGAATCGACCGTCTGGACGGTGCCGGATTAATTTTTCTGTGGTATTTTTGCATTAATTACTAGTTTTTTGTTGTTTTTAGGCCGTTATTAGTACTACAACGTATTCAGGGTATTTTTAGACCTTCCTAGCCCATTAGATGCTGTCCTTTCTGGATTCTTTCGCATTATCGGGGGCTAATTTTTTTCTAAGCCTCCAGAAATGCCTAAAACCTTAAAAGAAGGTATTTTAATCGTATTTTTGGTAAAATTTGACTATATTTGAATTTAAAACATTAAAAATCTAGGAAAAAATTTTTAGGTGAAATTTTGGTCGAAAATCGTCCATTTTTGTCGAAAAATAGCTATTTTTGTAATTGTGTCATCGAAATTTGTAAAGTTTTTACTTCTAGGAATAGTAAAAAAACAATAGAAACACTCGCTCTATTTATATTAAAAAAATCGGATCCTAATAAAAGGCCCCCCCCCGATAATGCAGAAGAGCCAATATCTCGTTTATTACTGTAAAAATGTATATTATTCTGTTTTTCGCTTCATTTGTAATTTTTTAATATTTTTATACCATTTTACGCTCATTTTCAAAACTCTCACTTTCAATTTTCACTTATTTACGGGTTGTCCGCGCCGCGTCACTTATACATTTGTCATTTTTGAGATTATTCTGGTCATATTTCGTGTTATTTTGTGTAATAAACAATTTTTGCTACTTTTTGTACTTTATTAAGTTATTAAAACGATTGATCGACGGTTTCCTATTTTTTTTGTTACCGTAATCATGATTTATTCCTTTGGGTTTTTTTCAGGAAAATGCTCGGGTCGCTGCGGGACACGTTGGCCAGCGTGCAAAACGAGCTGGCAAGCGGGTAAATTTTGATTTTGTTTATATTCCGTTAATTTAATTTTAATTATATAGAATTTTTGGTTTACTTATATAGATTTATATTAATTTTTTACGGGGGTTGAACCCGGCCGTCAATTTTAACCCCCCTCCTAACGCTTTGATACCCCTTTTGTCAAAAAAAAAAAAGCGCCTTCTCTCCTGATTATATAGGCATTTATTCCCCTTTTGCGTTGTATTTTTTTTTAATTTTTTTTTTAAAAAAGGTGTTCTTTATTTTTTATAGGAAAACTTAATTTTTATGTAAAAAACAAAACAAAATTGAAAATTTAAATACGTGCAATCATAAACAGGCCATAAGCGTGACGACGTCATAGGCCCCCTTCTCTTCCTCCCCCCCCTTGAGATATCCTCCGGACACGCTGACGGACGTTGCATGCAAAGTGGCACACACACACACACACACAGACACTATTTTTTTATTATATGTAGGATTTAAATTGAAATTTTTGAAATAATATTTATATAGCTTTAAATACCGATTTTTTTTGTTTCAGTTTAAATGGTTTTAAATGTCGTTTTTTGTTTTTAGCACCGAAAAATTCGGGCAACGCTTTGACCGTTTTTACGGGCAGCTGGCCGAGAAAGTCAACGGAACCGCGTAAAATTTGGAATTTTGGAATTTGCACATTTTCTGGGCTTTTTGGGTCGCTTTGGGATGCTTTTTGGGTTTTGAAGGGACTAGGAAGTCAAGAAGGTGGTTTTGAGCGGTTTTTGACGGTTCAGACGAGCTAGCGGAGATCCTTTAGGAAAGGGCAGGCTAGCAGAGATTCTTTAGGAAAGGGCAGGCTAGCAGAGATTCTTTTGGAAAGGGCAGGCTAGCAGCGATTTTTTGGGAAAGGGCAGGCTAGCAGAGATTCATTAGGACAGGGCAGGCTAGCAGCGATTCTTTAGGAAAGGGCAGGCTAGCAGAGATTCTTTAGCAAAGGGCAGGCTAGCAGAGATTCTTTAGGACAGGGCAGGCTAGCAGCGATTCTTGGGAATCCAGAATGGAGGACACCCAGAGATTTTCAGGAACTCCCGCAGCATTCTAGCAAAATTTTTGGGAATTCGGACCATTTTGGGCAGGCTAGCAGGGATTCTAGAGGTTTCCCGGCGCAAATCTTTGAGCCTAAATGCACTCTGCGAGCTTGCCGTTTTCAGAAAAAATCGCTTACCAACTCCAGAATTCCATCCTTGGCTTCCCAGTCCCTTTAAAATTGTAAAATTTTATGATTCAGGTTTAATTTTCAATTTTCAGCGTGGAACGCCTGCGCATCAACGTGGTGCCCTCTTCGATGACCCAGCAACGGTACGCAATTTTTTTTAACGGATTGAATTTTTAATGGTTTTTAATTGGTTTTTAACGGCTAGGTTTAGTATAGCTTTTTGATGGAATTTTCAGTACCCGATGACGCACCGTCGTCCGAAAGGTCTCGGCAGGAAATAAGCGGATTAGCATAAAAATTCCGCGAGCGCACCTAGCTAGAGCAATTTCGCAGCCCTAGCGGCTTAAAAATTCGATACAACTAGTTTTTAAATCTAACATAAAATACTAGATTCTATTTTGGGATGCTTGCCGCAATTTGGTCGTCAGAAACGTTGTAATATTTGTATTTTAAGCTTTAATTAGAGCTTAATTTTAATTTAAGTAGTTTCTTTTAATTAATTTCATTTTTAGCTTCATTTTTGAGCTGAAGTGTTTCTTAATGACTTGTTTTGAGGCTTTTGCTGTGTTATTTAGGGTAGCAGCAAAATTCTTGTATTTTGTTTTATATCAACTTAATTCTTGTTTTTAGATGCCCGATCGAGACGGTGAACGAGCTGGTCAACACAGGAGCCGGGAGCGATTTGTTGTTAAAGTTAGTGTTTTTTTGCGGCATTTGGGTTTTTTATGGGAAATTTTCGGCGTGTTGTATTTTATATTTTGGGGTTTTGAAGCCCATTCCCTGGTTTAACACTGAAAAATCGTCCGAAAAATTGTCGGTTTTTAGCTTGGTGTTATTTTTAACCTATTTAACTTATTTTTTAATTTTTAACTTTTTAAAATTTTTTGACAACTTTTTAACTTTTTTTTACAGCTTTTTAGCTGATTTTTAACTCTGTGAAACAATGTTTTTATGAGCGTTTAGGATTTTTTCGACGTAATTTAGCCCGGAATTTTTAGTTGTGTTTTTTTGGGGGCAGTTTTGGCGTTTTGTATTTTGTAGTTTCGGGTTTTGCGGTCCATTTCGTGGTTTTTTCCTGGTTCAATACAGAAAAATTTAATTCATATTTATTCCTGCTTCTCCAATCCCTCAATTCTGAAGCTCCTTGGTGAGCTTGATCAGCTTCTGGTAGATTTCCGTCGTCTCGTTGACCAGCTTGATCATCTCGTCGACGGTGGCGAAGGCCTTATTGCAGTTTTCTTTCTGAAATCAGGGATTTTATTATTTTGCGTGATTTTGTAAGAAACGAATAAGCTAAAAATCGTTACCGTATTCTTCTCCAAGCACTCCTTCTCCACTTCCGCTTTGTGCTCCTGGTACTCCTTGGTGACGTCGAGGAACTCGTGGAAGGGATTCTCATCCGGGGCGGCGGTTTCCGTCTGGAAATTTCGTTTTTCTTGTTTTTTTTACGCCTGTTACGCTCCCTTAAAAGTAACCGGAAAGGCGACGCGTTGCGTTTAGCGGCTCGCGGCGAATTTCATATAGGATCTGGGTACTTTTGCATTATCGGGGGGGGGAGATAATTTTTTCCGAACCTCTAGAAAAGCCTAGAAACCTAATAGTGAGTATTTTAATAGTGGTCTTTAGAAAAAAATTATACTTTAAGGGGGGCATTATCTAAAAACTTCGGAAAAATTTTAAATTTTGTAAAAATTGACATTTTTAGCCGAAAAATCGTTATTTTTGTTTTTTCTGTATAAGTTGTAAAGTTTTTACGTTTGAGATTAGTGAAAATAGTTTACAAAAATTTCTACATTTTATTAGAAAAACTGGATCCGAAATGGAAACGTTGCCCCCCCGATAATGCCAAAGCGCCAGAATCCGGAACCAAAAATCCACAGCCATGCTTTGTTTGGCCCTTGAAAAATATATCACCTACCGTAGTTTCGGCCGCAAAAGCGATAGTAACCAGCAAAAATACAATGGCCAGTTTTGTCATTTTTACTGGAATTATCAGGATTTCGCGGTGTCGATAGGAGCCCAGCGGAAATTTGCCGGTTCCATCCCGGTCGATCTCTTTTATCCACCACCAATTGGGAGGGGAGAGATATCAAAAAATGAGAGAGAACCCCCGGGATTTTCACCACGTTGAGCAAGTTTTACACCGGTTACGTCATGTAATTATACTGTAGCTTGATGGCACGACGCCTTTAAAATACAATGAGTCTTCCTAAAGCATTTCTGCTAGCCTCTCCATTTCCCAAGGAATCTCTGCTGGATTGCCGATTTTCTAAGAATCGCTGCTAGCCTGCCCTTTCCTAAAGAATCGCTGCTAGCCTCCCCATTTCCTAAAGAATCTCTGCTAGTCTGCCCTATCCTAAAGAATTTCTGCTAACCTGTCTATTATGCCCATTACGACATGTAATTTTAAAATTTATAGAATTCCTCAAGAATCTCTGCTAGCTTGCCTACTATAACCATTACGGCATCTATTTCTGCGACCTTTACATTTCGATCCTTTGAAAGTTACCGTTTGTGACACGATCCCTTTAAAGCGTATCCTTCCTCACTAATCCATGCTCGATTGCCTCACCAATGCTCTCTGCTAGCCTGCCCAGCGTCTCGATTACGACATGGAATTCGGGGCTGAACCGTTGCTCCATTTAGCTTTCCTCAAGAATCACTGCTAGATTGCCCCGGAAATTAGCGTCGTTAATCGGCGACAATTTTGTAACTGTGTAGTTTGTAGTTTTCGAGCAATAGATAAATTTATGCCTAGAAAGGCTTTTCGCTGGCGGTCAAGTTTTGGATGTGGTTGAAGATCTCGTTGACCTCGGTGGCGATTCTCACCATGTCGTCGATTTTGTTGAAGAGTTTGTGGCACACTTCGGTCTAAAAAACCGAATTAAAAATCCTAAGGAATCTCTGCTAGCCTGCCCATTCCTAAATCTTCTCTGCTACCTTATTGTCCTCAGCGCATCCCTTCTCGAGCTCGGGCTTTTGCGCCTTGAACCCGTTGACCATCTCCATTAGTGCGTCGAACGGGCTTTTCTTCTCAGCGGCCTCTGTCTAGAAAAATTCGTGAATTTCTGGTACGACAGTACCTTTAAAAGGATTCGTGGTTCTTTTGCATTATCGGGTGGGAGGATCAGAAAAGCTTTAATAAATTTTTTAATGCTCTTTTTAATTTTTTAATGGTATTTTTAGTAATATTTAATGGTTTTCCAATGGAAAGACTATCTAAAAAACGGTAAAAATGTAACAATTGGAACTTTGGGTTAAAATCAGCCATTTTTGGTCGGAAAATCGATATTTTTGTATCTTTTAATCAAAATTTTGTAATGTTTTTACGTTTATAAATACTAAACTGCCATTTAGAAACACTACCTCTATTTATATTCGAAAAATTGGCTCCTTAGAAGAACGTTCCCCCCCCCCCGATAATGCACAAGCTTCAAATTCTCTATCATTCTGACTCACCAAGTTATTTGCGGCCAACAGCAGCGCGGCGACGAGGAACAGCGCGAATGGTTTGTACATGTTTTGTTCTTGACGGGGCTGTAGATAGGAAAGAGGTGGAAAAACCTGAGCCCGCTGGACCCTTTTATACCCGGAAAAACGGGACTGACCTTGCCGAATAGTTCCCCTGCATTTTTGTGCGGTTTCTCCATTTTTTCGGATGGTTCCGGGATGTCAGGGTCAATTTCGGGGATACGGTAATTGGGGCGAGGTTTAGGAAAACAAGAATGGAATCACCTAACCCTCGAAAAGCAGACTGGCAATGATTCTTTAGTGGAGGGCAGGCTAGCGTAGGTTCTGTAGGAAAGGACAGGCCAGCAGAGATGCTTTAGGAAAGGGCAAGCTAGCAGAGATTCTTTAGGAAAGGGCAGGCTAGCAGAGATTCTTTAGGAAAGGGCAGGCTAGCAGAGATTCTTTAGGAAAGGGCAGGCTAGCAGAGATTCTTTAGGAAAGGGCAGGCTAGCAGAGATTCTTTAGGAAAGGGCAGGCTAGCGGAGATTCTTTAGGAAAGTCTTTAAAAAAAGATTTTATTGGGCTACTGTAGCTTTAATGCCTCAACTCGTTCCACGACCTCCTTGATTTTCCTCGTCTTTTCCACTAGCCCTCCGATGAGACCCGCGATCAGAAAGCATTTCGTTTTCTGAAATTCTTCATGAAATTTGAATAACAAATTCCTAAACGAACTCTGCTAGCCTGCTCCTTACCAATTCGCCGGGAGCCTGACTGCACTGCTCGGTGACTTCCTTTCGCTGCGACTCCATCTGGTCGATGATTTTTGCCCAGCCATCGGTATCTCCTGTCTAAATCTGGGGTTTTAAAGGGAAGGTGACACTAGCGTTATTTTTCCCTAAAGAATCTCTGCTAGCTCCCCTTTCCTAAAGAATCGCTGCTAGCCTGCCTTGCTAAAAATGCATCGTTAAGCTTACCACGGATTGCAATATGCCCGGCTTTTCCTGATCTTGGGCAGAGATTACGATAATAAATATTACAGCGAGTCCGAGACAATACTTTAGCATTTTCTGTAATGTCGATAGGTGTCGAGTGTAGTCACCAAGTTTCCTTTTTCCGGCTCTATCCGCAAAAAATTGGCCAACTGCCGGCCAGATCTCATCTCTCAACGATCAATCATTTCCGGTTTCAAACGATCATCTGAGGAGAGATTTTGTAGTTGGAATTTGTCTATTAATGCATGTATTTACAAGGGGAACTCGAAAATTTTATTGATCGGACTACTGTAGTTTCAAGCTCTCAAATCGCCCGACAACATCCTGCAATTGCCGTGTTTTGCCGATAAACTGCCCGATGTAGTTGAGCATCAGGAAGCAGGCCTTTTTCTACAAAAAAAAATTGGAATTTTGTAGTAGTGACTTAGTGTAAACTACAGGCTACAAACGACAAAGTCTAGACTATAGCTAGTCACCAATCACTACAGAATATAGACTACAGACTACAACGTTTCCGTTTGTATTCTGTAGCCTGTATTTTGTAGACTACAGACTACAATATTTTTTGTAGCGTGTAAGCTAGACTACAGGCTATAAACTAAAAATTTTCTGGTTCTACCAGCCGTCTATCACTTTTTTCTAGGCCCAAGTTTGTACGAGTGAACTACAAACTATAGGCTACAGGCTACGTTTCGATTTGTAGTTTGTAGTCTGTAGTTTTTAATGTACACACCTTATTCTGTGGTGCCTCGTTGCACCGTGCGCATCCTTCACGCCTCAGCTCCTCCATCTCGTCGATCAGCCCTTGCCAATCCTCAGGGGTTCCGCCCTGTAATCCACAAATTCTCTCTGCTAGCCTGCCCTCCTGCCGCGCTGGCGACACGCAACGTTTCGAGCGCTTCCATTGCGTAATCGATTACGACACTTTTATAGCGGAAAAAGGCGCGTTGCGTTTCGAAAGCGCATCAAGAACTTCAAAGCGGTTTTAGGATTTATTTCATTCTTTCGGATCCGCAAATTGTCTCTGCTAGTTGTCGCTTTCAGGAACTAAGATATAACGTACGAATTTACTCAGCGCGCTCGGCTTTTCCTCGTCATCAGCGGAAATTGCTGTAATAAATAGTACAGCGACTACGAGGCAATACTTTAGCATTGTTCCGAGGTGTCGATAGGTGTAGCGCGTAGTCGTCAAGCTTGGTTTTCCGGGTTTTATAGGGGAGAGATCAGTTGATATCCCATCTCCCAACAATCAATCATTTCCGGTTTTCCGTTAGCAAAATTTGGCCAATAGAAAATGTCCTATTATTGCGCAACAAGTGGAAATACGTCGCGTAACGTAATACAAATTATGCTCCATGCACTAATGATATGATGAAAACGAGAGGCAAGCTAGCAGAGATTCCTGGCCAGGCGGTCTAAAAACTTTTTCTTTTTTCCCAAATCGCCGCTGCTAGCCTGCTCGATCGATAAGGTGCCTATTACCGCGCAAAATTAGAAACATAAATTGTCAAAAGGTGTTTATTGGATTACTGTAGTTTCAAGCTCTCAAATCGCTCGGTCACGTCCTTGAATTGCTTCACTTTTTGGACGAGCTGTCCGAGGAGGCTGACCAGCAGGAAGCATTGCTTCTTCTAAAAAAAGTCTCTCAAATTTTGTTGTTCTTTTCCATTACCGGGGGGCGGGATTTTGCCTAAAAAACCAGAAATGGTTCAAAATGTTCTAACAGTTTTTCGTAAAATTTACCGTATTTCAGGTGGAAAAACTAGCTAAACAAACGTAGAAAAAATGTAAAAATTTGAAATTTGCCGAATTTAGGTATTTTTGGTCCCGAAAGAGTTCTTAAAATCGATATTTTTGCGTTTTTTTTAATTAAAATTTTTGGTTCTTTCGCATTACCGGGGGGGGGGGGGCTGGACTTTTTATCGAATTCCAAACTTTTGTCTAGTAATTTAATAAGGAAGTGTTTTTAGAAAAATATGCGCATATTTTAAGTTGAAAATCTGTCGAGAAACCTTAAAAATTTTTGTAAAAGTCGAAATTTTGGTAAAACATCGATTTTTTCGACTTTAAGTAAAATTTTTTAAATTTTGTACGCCTAGGAACAGTGAAAAACAGTTTAGAAAAACTATTTTTATCTGAAAAATTCGATCCTCAGAAAAAAGTTGGAGCTCCTTCCCCACCCCCGATAATGCCAAAGCACCCCCAAATAGCTGGCCAAACCCTTACAAGTCTATCCGGGGCTCCGTTGCACTGTGCGGCATAAGCCATCCTTTGTCTCTCCATCTGGCCGATCATTTTATCCCAATCTTTCGGACTGCCGCCCTAAAATCCGCAAATTATCGCTGCTAGTTGCCGCTTGAAAACCCCTAAAATCTAGCCTACCATTTGGCTCAACGAGCTCGGCTTTTCCTCATCATCGGCGGAAACTACAGCAAGAATTAGCACAGCGAGTACGAGGCAATACTTTAGCATATTTGGAGGTGTCAATAGGTGTAGAGTGTAGCGTTTCACTTTCTGTGGTCGTATATACCTAGGAAATTTGGCGGTTCCAGCCCGGTCATATCCCCATCTCGCGCTCATCAATCATTTTCTATTTTCCGGGGAACCAGTTGGAAAATGGATAATTCCGAAATGATCTCTGCTAGCTTGCCCGGAATTTTTGACTTTAACGGCTGTTAAATGGCTTAAAAAGACGAGTTTAGAATATCGGCAAGCTAGCAGGGATCATTTGGGACGGCCTTAAAATTGGCCGTTCCGTTCCGCAAAGCATCACTGCTAGCCTGCCCGTTTTCGTGATTTCCGGTCGTAAATTTCATTTCGTTTTAAAAGCGCTTAAAACTGTACCGGACTGTTATTTTTATAGCATTTGCCGCAATTTTTGGGTTAAAAAAAAGCTCTAAAAAATTTTAACAATTGACGATTTTTGTTGTTTGTCCAAAAGTGCATGTAAAATGACCCAAAAAGGTCAAAAATTTTTGAATTAAAAAAATTAAATTTCTAATAAAATTTTTTGATTAAATAAATTATTTTTTTGCTAGCTCTCTAGCAATAAACCCTAGTAAAACGCTTTAAAAATACAGGATTTATTCGTAACCTGCGCCTCCCGCTAAGAGTCCGGTACCCTTAAAGCCAGCTAGCAGAGACTTTTGGGGAGGGCCATAATTTGCGTCTAAATTCCTGAAAGTATCTCTCCTAGTCTGCCCCGTGCGGAATATCGAGCTTTAGATAGAGGAAATTTATTCATGTGTATTTCTGGGTCAGTGTAGGTCCTTGGCAATTTCTTGGAATCGTCGCATGACGTCTTGCGTCTTTTTCGTCTTTCCGATCAGCTCCCCAATCGTTTCCACCATCGCTAGGCACGGGATTTTCTGGAAAAGTAATTTTCCTAAAGAATCTCTGCTAGGCTGCCCCCAAAACCTGATTTTATCGAAGGGTCTTTGGCATTATCGGGGGGGGGGCTATTTTTTCTGGGGATAAAAGTTTACTAAGAGATAAATGTTGCTAGCCATTTATAAACGTAAAAACCTTACCTAAATTGACATTAAAAAAACCATGGTAAAAACTTTAAAAAAATGTAATTTTAGTGGACCAAATCGGCCGATTTTTGACAAAAATTTAGCATTTTTGTCGGTTTTATTGCTTTTTTTTCTCTCGGTTAAGTTCTACTAAACCCACTATTATAAAATTTACTAAATTATAATAGAAAAAAGGAAAATTGAAATATATTGCCGACATTTGATTTATAGGAAAAAGATTGCCTCCCCCCGTAATGCACAAGCACCTCATAGGATTTTACTTACCCTTTTCTCGTCGGCTCCCTGGCACATAAAACTGAAGACCGTTTTCTGCCTCTGCATGTCTGCCATTAATTCGTCCAGCCCGTCGGCGCCGTCTCCCTTAAAAAAATCAAATTATTTGTTCAATTTAGACGGTAAAATTCACGATTTAATTTTTGTTAATTTAAATTTTTAAATTTATTTTTTAAGGCTTTTTACGTATTATTTAACTTACAAAAGTAGCGGCCATCTGCTTCGTCTCACTCCCATTATTCGCCTCATTTTCTGCTAGAATTACAGTAATCGTGAAGACCGCGAGTACGAGGCAATACTTTAGCATTTTCTAGCCCTGTCGAGAGGTGTAGAATGTAGTCGTAGTTGCCCGGAACGCTCTCTCAAATATATTGGCAGCTGATATCACCTACGAACCCGGAAAAACAGTGGTCCCGCCGCGGCGATCAACCCCGACAGCCGTAATCCATCATTTTTGGGTGGATTTTGGGGAGATGATTTCTCAAATGGTCTCTGCTAGTTTGCCTAGGGATCGAAAAAAATTTCAAATAATCTCGGCTAGCTTGCAAGGGGCTAGCCGATTTAACAAATGATCTCTTCTAACTTGCCTAAATATGGAGAATTCTTCAAATAACCTCTGCTAGTTGTTCAATGCTTAGTCGGCTCCTAAAAAATCTCTGCTAGCTTGCCTAGGATTGAAGGTTTTTCAAATAATCTCTGCTAGCTTGCCTGCATTGGACAACTCCGCAAATGGTCTCTGCTAGCTTGCCTGGGGCCAGATGATAGAGAATTCCTCAAATAACCTCTGTTAGTTTCTCAATGATTAGGCGGCTCCCAAAAATCTCTGCTAGCTTGGCTAGGACTGGACGGTTCCTCAAAAGTCTCTGCTAGCTTGCCATAGCCCTCTCAAGTCCTAAAAATCTCTGCTAGCTTCCCCTTTTGCGCCCGTTCCTCAATGATCCCTGCTAGCCTGCCCTTGTTTGCGAATTAATGGTACCTTATCCTTTTTTACAAAAATTCATATGAATTTATTAATTTTTTAGTGATTTAATGCATATCTGCGACAATCTCCTTCAGTCGTTGCAGGACCTCTTTCATCTTTCCCGTCTTTTCAATAAAATCTGCAATCGTTTCCACCATCGCGAGACAGGACACCCGCTAAAAATATTTTTCCTGAAGAATCTCTGCTAGATTGCCTTTTTCCCGTCAGCTCCCAAGCAGATGAAATTGAACATTTGATGAATCTGTTTCATCTCTGCAATTGATTCGTCAAATTGCGCGTCGTCACCTCCCTAAAAATGATAATGAGCTGAGGCTGGCAGAGATTCTTTAGGAAAGGGTGACTTAGGAAAGGGCAGGCTAGCAGAGATTCTTTAGGAAAGGGCAGGTTAGCAGAGATTCTTTAGGAAAGGGCAGGTTAGCAGAGATTCTTTAGGAAAGGGCAGGTTAGCAGAGATTCTTTAGGAAAGGGCAGGCTAGCAGAGATTCTTTAGGAAAGGGCAGGCTAGCAGAGATTCTTTAGGAAAGGGCAGGTTAGCAGAGATTCTTTAGGAAAGGGCAGGTTAGCAGAGATTCTTTAGGAAAGGGTGGGCTAGCAGAGATTCTTTAGGAAAGGGTGGGCTAGCAGAGATTCGTTCGGAAGGAAAAATAGCTTACCATTGCTGCCACGATCTTCTTGACATCACGCATATTTTCATCTTCCGCTATTACAGCAATCCAGAGCACAGCCGCTACGAGACAATACTTTAGCATTTTCCGGGGTGTCGATAGGTGCTTCACGTAGTCGATTGCTCCACTCAACTCTATATAGGATCGGGAGATCGGCAAAAAAAATGTTGATCCTGCCGAGATCAACTCCGACAGGCGCTATCTATCATTTATGGGGTAGAAAAGGGGTGAATGAATTTAAAAATTAATTCTTCTGTTAGCTTGCTCTTTCCTAAAGAATCTCTGCTAGCTAGCGTCGTGCTTTTTCATAAATTTTCTAAAAATACATTTATTTGTCATCAATTATCGAAATTAATCAAGATTTTTTAATCGAGTTCCTCGAGCAACTTGTTGAAGTCGGCGAAGACGCCGTGGAGCTCTTTCACTTTTCCGAGTAGCTGCTCAAAGCTTTCGACGAGCAGGAAGCATGTCTTTTTCTGAAAAAAAGGGAAATTCCCAAAGAATCGCTGCTGGCTTGCCTTGGCCTCGGGCGCCTCGTTGCACTTTTGCTTGATCAGCGACTTTTGGCTCTCCATCTCTTTGCCGAGTTTCTCGAACTGCTCCAAGTCGACGCCCTAGAAAAATTTGAATAACGAATCTCTGCTAGCCTTTCCTAAAGAATCTCTGCTAGCCTGCCTTTCCTCAAGAATCTCTGCCACCTACCTTTTTCTCCTTCTCCTCACTGCTGCTGCTGCTATCAGCCAATGCCAGGGCCACAATCAGCACAGCTACGATACAGTACTTCAACATTTCGTCCCGTCAGTAGGATCAATGCGGAATTTTTCCCTAAAAGAGCCGATTCACCCGGTTTTTCACCCCTTTATACCCCCCGGAACTGACCCCAGAACTGGCCTTGAAGAGCTATCCCTTCCGCTTTTTTCTGTTTTCTTTAGCCCGGAAAATTTCTTGGGGGCCGACCTGTACATTTTCTGCTTCCTGATCAGAACAGTAACACGTCAAAATGAGCGAAAATTGGGAAATAGAATTTTGGGGGAATTGAAGAAAAATCAGGGCAGGCTAGCACAGCTTCTTTAGGACAGGACTGATTCCGAAACGATCTCTGCTAGCTCGCCCGCTGAAATACCGGGGTCCTTAGGAGCAGAGGTTTGTCCACGAATGGTCTCTGTTAGCTTGCCAACAGAGGTGACCCTATAAAATAGACCCACATATTCCTAAAGAATCTCCGCTAGCCTGCCCATTTCCCAAAGAATTTCTGCTAGCTTGCCTCGAATTTCTCCGTTTTTATCCATTTTTACGCGACGTCATTTGATCGCCATTTTCCCCAATAATTGCCGCTAATCCGTTCAAAATACACCCAGGAAATCGCGAAAAAATCACGCGTTTGGCGAGTTACCTTCACTTTCGTACATTTGCTACCCGATCCCGGAACTTGCACAAAAATCGCTGCTACCAAAGACCTAAAAAAAGGGAAACGGAAAGATCGGCAATTGAAAATGGTGAAAAATAGTAGCGGACCAATTTGAATTACAGAAAATTAGCTGGGCATTCGAGCAGAGATACTTTAGGAATGGGCAGGCTAGCAGAGATTCTTTAGGAAATTGTTTTTTCTGCGGTTTAAATTCAGATTTTAAAGTTTATTTACATTTTAGCACAAATCGATATCCTTGCAAACAGATTCGGGCGTGGCTCCCGGGTCGTTCTTCAGCTTGTCAACAACCTAGAAATGGGTTTTTAGGCTTCACTGGCCCTTTAGCGCTGTGGCAGACTAGCGGAGAGCTCTTTGGAAAGGCCTGAGAAAGAGGGCAGGCTAGCAGAGAGTTTTGGGCATGTGAAAGTGTCAAATGCCTACCTTTTCCAACTCGGAATCGACGAATCCCTGCACACCTTGCCCATCACCCCGGTGCCGAACTCCTTCTCGCACCAGGCATTCAATTTCTAAAAGTTGTCCCAATTACCGTAAACCGAGATAATTACTTACATCCTCGTCAGCCTGCTCTCCGTTCTCGATATCGGTCTCGACTTGCTTCACGAAGGCCTGGCAGACGGGGCAGAAGACCTGGAAGGATCTTGAAATTAGAGGATCTCTGCTAGCTTGCCTCCTGGCGGCCTTTCCACTACGCTGCCCTTTCCTAAAGAATCCCTGCCAGCTTACCCCTCTCTCTTTCGGCTGCTCTGGTAATGCGACGGCGAGGGAGACGGCAAAGAAGGCAGCGACGAGTAGAAGGCACTTCATTCGTCTAAAAAAACCAAAAATCAAAATTTAGCGAGGAGCTAGCATGGATTATTTGGGAAAGGAGGGAAACTAGCAAAGATTCTTGAGGAATTGTAGAATTTGAGATCAGTAGCTAGCCCCTGAGAGGTTTAACAGGACAGAAAAGGTCTTGATGGTGACGGGCTAAAGATAAGAAGGCGCCCCATTGTTTTTGGACTCCTGACTTGTTGGCCCGTCTGATCAGGCTTTATAAGCTTCGTCAGGGGGGGCTTATCAGTCTGAAGCTGAAGGCGCCCGGCTGATCATCCCTGTATTGTGAAACAGGGAGACAGGAGCGAGAGAGTGAGAGAGAGAACGAGAGGGAGAGAGAGACAGACCACACGTGTCAAATTATGTCCGGAATAGCCCGGAAAATGACTGTAAATGGATGGCTCGAGGGACTGTAAATTACGCCTCCCTTCCAGTTTACAACCCCTAGTATAGAAAATCCGGATCCGGGTAGAATCAGATGACGAACCGCTCGAGACCGGAACACTTTTATCAAAAAAACGGGACTTGGGGGACATAGAACAATTTGAACGGTAATGAGAGGCAGAAAATTTTTATGATTTGCCGATTTTATGATGAAAATCGGCTCGAAATCGTGTTTAAAGCGAGTTGGAAGTCTATGAAAACGATTTAAAAGGCCGGGCCGGGCAAGACTACAGGTTACTGATTACGAGAGGAAAAGTCGAGCCGCGGATAACGTTAAGGGGAATTGAAAGGAAAAGGCCGGTTCTCTACGATTACGACATGAAAATCGGATCGAAACTTGTTTTAAAGAGAATTGGGAGTTAAGAAAATAAAATGTTACGACATCGATGGCTATTTCAAACCTGTTTTTTTCAGATACCAAACGCAGCTGGATCAGATGAGGTGTGTGGCCGAGGAAGGCGTCCGATTGGCCAATCTCACGTCAACACGCCTGGGAAGAGCACAGCAAATGTGTCGGGTAAGCGAAGTTTTGCGTTTCTTTAAAATCCTATGACCTAGATTTAGCGGTTTTTCTCTTTTAGGAACGAGCCGATGCCGTGCTGACGATCGACACATTTCTTCGATCAATTCAAGATGTCGACAAGCGGATACGAGATATTAATAAACAGGTATCGTTTTTTAAATTAGTTTTTTTTATTTATTAGCTATTTATTTTGTATAGATTTTGATTGATTTTTCAGGTCGACAAATTGCAACGATTTTGCGATCAAACCGAGCAGGCGATCACCCACTTGGATGGACTGTGCATGGTGGCGACGGCTGAATCCGAGGTGAGCCAGCTAGCAGAGATTCTTTAGGAAAGGGCAGGCTAGCAGAGATTCTTTAGGAAAGGGCTGGCTAGCAGATATTCTTGGGAAAGGGGCAAGCTAGCAGCGATTCTTTGGAAAATCTCCATTCTATTAATGCTTCAATAATCTGATTTAGGTGGAGCTGATCCAGGATCGAGCCCGAGTCATCTCCAGCTTGGCCCCTCCTACCACACCGCCACCCAGCGTTTTTCCATGTGAGTTTAACTTTTCCAATGGTAATTTCAAGGCTCTTTTTGAAAAACCGGCTTTTTCTGCTCTCTGGCTTCTAATTCCAATTGTTCCGTCAAAGTTTCGAAATTTCAGAGCTTTCTCACTACCGTACTCCTTTCCCCTACAGTAAGTCGTGCTCGCCCGCAAAAGCTATCCACCGATTTTTCGTTTTAAAGGAACCCGGAAGTCAAAAATGGCGAAAAAATGTTAATTTTTGCCTTCCCGACCCCTTTAATTTCCTTTATTTTCCCGAATCCACCCGCTATCTCCCCGGTCTTTTCCTATATTTTGGTTTCTCAAGGAATTTCCGCAAATTACTGTAATTTTTGAAAATTTTTTGTTTTTAATAATTTTATTTCTTTTTTAGCACCAGCCGTCCAAGCCTCGGATACGGTACGCGCGCAGCAAGAGGAGGTGATGCTCGAGGAATTCCTCTCAAAACCGTAACCCCGCTAAATGTCATTTTTCGATTTTTGTGTTACGGTAACTTATTTATTCTGTTTTTACTGTATTCCCAAGCCATTCCGCTACGCTCCACTTCACTCCTAAAATGCCTAATGTATTGAATTTAGTAATTCAAATGCAATTTGCATTAATTTTGTATTTTTTGCTGATATTGGCAATTTTTGGGTCGTTTTCCGTGCTCGCTGCAATAAATTGTATTCATTTTCTTACACCTCGATCGATTTTTTGTGGGTACTTTTGCGCCTGGCAATCTTGCAGAGACGATTTGGGAATTTTCCAGCAGGCTTGTAGATGTTTCTTAGGAAATTTCTGCGCGCTACGGTAGCTGTTCGACAAGTTCGACAAGTTCGGCAAGCATGCAAGGCCATCAAGACGATCGAGTTCAACAGATATGATTTGACAATAGACCTGAGGCTGGAATTGAGGTATTTATTAGCTTATAGCATGGTTTTGTAAGATACTAGCCAAGATTCTTTAGGAAAGGGCAGGCTAGCAGAGATTTTTTAGGAAAGGGCAGGCTAGCAGAGATTCTTTAGGAAAGGGCAGGCTAGCAGAGATTCTTTAGGAAAGGGCAGGCTAGCAGAGATTCTTTAGGAAAGGGCAGGCTAGCAGAGATTCTTTAGGAAAGGGCAGGCTAGCAGAGATTCTTTAGGAAAGGGCAGGCTAGCAGAGATTCTTTAGGAAAGGGCAGGCTAGCAGAGATTCTTTAGGAAAGGGCAGGCTAGCAGAGATTCTTTAGGAAAGGGCAGGCTAGCAGAGATTCTTTAGGAAAGGGCAGGCTAGCAGAGATTCTTTAGGAAAGGGCAGGCTAGCAGAGATTCTTTAGGAAAGGGCAGGCTAGCAGAGATTCTTTAGGAAAGGGCAGGCTAGCAGAGATTCTTTAGGAAAGGGCAGGCTAGCAGAGATTCTTTAGGAAAGGGCAGGCTAGCAGAGATTCTTTAGGAAAGGGCAGGCTAGCAGAGATTCTTTAGGAAAGGGCAGGCTAGCAGAGATTCTTTAGGAAAGGGCAGGCTAGCAGAGATTCTTTAGGAAAGGGCAGGCTAGCAGAGATTCTTTAGGAAAGGGCAGGCTAGCAGAGATTTTTGCGGATTGGACTCCTATAGAGATCAAGAAGATCTGTCCGTCTGTCTTGATGATTGTCTGTCTGATCGCCAATCCAAATCCATTCGTTCCCCCGAAATGCCAGCGCGTAACCCACGCCGCCCCCCGGGACCCCCGAGCCAGTCCGATTTTCCAGCCATCGAACGAACCCCCCGGTGACGATGGTCTGCCATCCAAAAGAATGGGAAGGTACGCTAGACACCTCTGTACACCCCCGGGGTGTCAAGGTTTAGCGGTTTGACAAGCTAGCAGAGATCCGTTCGCGTAGAGCAGATTGGCGAGCTAGCAGAGATCATTTTGGAAATTTTTGGTGCTTCAAAGCTTCACTTTATGTCTGATTTTAAAGCAAGTTTATGAATCGATTTTTGAAGTAGGAAACCCCTAAAAACTTCCAATATTTTTGTAAAATTTGCAATTCGTGTTCAAAAAATCGTGATTTTTATGTTTTGTTAAAGTTTAAAGCAATTTTGAATAGGAAGTCCCTTAAAAAACTAACAACATTTTTGTAAAATTGGCTTTCTGTTCGGAGAATTGCGCTTTTAAGATTAAAACATGTTACGTCTTGGCTTTTCGGAAATTCCGTGTTAGCGAGCAAAAAAAAGCGCGCCCGGGCAAACTAGCAGAGATTTTTGCGGATTTTTTTAGAAGAGATTCGCCTGACATCACATGACCAATACAATACAGCAAGACAATCATCGGGAAGCCGTCCCATTATTAGCCAGCTGCGTGTAGCGCAATTTAGGGGCGGGGACACGCGCAATTTTTGGCCATCTGCCAGCACAGACTGTTGCATAATGGTAATTGGGACAATAGGACGGGAGGGTAATTACGGGGCATGGGATAGGGCTGTCTTTCCTAAAAAGTCTCTGCTAGCCTGCCCATTCCTAAAGAATCTCTGCTAGCTCGCCACCAAGTTCCAACTGTTTTTTCCATCCTTTAGTAGCGTTCTGCAGAGTGAAAGCCCACCTCGCTGATTGATGCCCGTAGGCGTGGCATTTGGTGTGCCGCGTTCTCTGTCTGTCCGTCTCTATTTTCTCTCTCTCTCTCTCTCTCTCTCTCTCTCTCTCTCTCTCTCTCTCTCTCTCTCTCTCTCTTCCATTCCAATCCGTTCCGATCCGTCCATATTCCCTTTTTTGGATTCCCGACAAGTCCGCCCTGGGGATCGTGATCTGCCATTCCGACAGTTTCTCCGCAACGTGGCCTCGGGCTGTAGTTGTCGCTTTATCGGAGCTTAAAGGAGAGAAAAGTTCCGTTTAAACAATCTCTGCAAGCATACCGTTTCCGAGAGAATCACCGCTAGCTTGCTCTCTCTGTCTCTGTCTCTCTCTCTCTCTCTCTCTGTCTCTCTCTCTCTCGCTCTCTCAAAATTTCTCTAGTTTCTGGCACCCCTCCAAAAACTCCAATTCCCGAAAACAGCTGATCCTCGTGCTCGTTTTTCTCGACATTGCCTAGCACGAGATCCGAATCTCCCCCGTCCAGATCCAAATCAAATGCCCTCGGGGGCTCGATCGACTGAAAGCTTCTCCCCTGCCCGTCCAGAAAAACTCCCACTCCTCTGTATTTTCGATCCCCGATCGTCGGGTGTTCCACGGCTCAAAAGTGAGCCGATCAGCTAGCCTATTAAATACACTATTTCTGCTCTAATTCTATCTCTATTTTTATTTTGATAACATTCCGATAATGGCGCGGCGAAGCAGGTTTGCAGGCTTTTGATAGAATTTTTGAAAATATGTCTAATTTTCTCGCTCACTGGTTATAATTCCGTCTCTGTCCATCTGTTTGTATGTATGTATGTATGTCTGTCTCTCTCTATCGCTCTCTCTCTCCCTTTCTCTCGCACCCTCCCCTCTCTCTCTCTCTCTCTCTCTCGTTCTCTCTCGTGCTCTCTCTTTTTTAATTCGTTCTCGCTTTTCCTAAAAAAAGGTATATAGACGGCACTTGAATTCGTAGTCTGCCATTTCATAACCCCCGTTTAATAAGGTTTTTCCCGTTTTTATGGTTTCATCATTCACGTTTTATTTTTTAATAGTAAAAACTTTGACGAATGGCGTTTAAGGGCTTTAGATGGTTTTAAAATCAGTTTTTTTAAACGGTTTTTCAGAATGCGCCCCTACCTCGACCAATTCTGCCAGCTGCCCAATCAGGGATACATTGTGTGCATCATTGGACCGATGTTCAGCGGGAAAACGTGAGTTTTTGACTTTTTAAGAGGTTAGGGACAGCTAGGAGATACCGTAGTGTAACGTACTGTATCGCCGACGTACATCTTACAACTTTTTAAGAGAATGTAAAAGTCACGAGTATTGTAGCGTAGCGTACTCGCGTTTTTTGCCTACTGTATTTTCTAGCAAAATTTGAGATTTTTTCAAGGTCGCGGTGATATTGGAAGTGTAGTTTTGCGTACTATCTTGTACGATAGCGTGCCGTAGCGTACTATAATGTACCTTTTCAGGACCGAGCTGATCCGAATCCACGACCGTTACAAGATTGCCAAGAAGAAGTGTGTGTTGGTGAAATATGATGGGGATATGCGATACGATGCACACCACATTACCACCCATCAACAGTACGTTTTTTCGGGCGAGCCAGCAGCGGTTCTTTAGGAAGGGCAGGCTAGCAGTGATTCTTGCGGAACTTCCGATCAAACTCTGCAAAAACTGTCATTTTTTAGACAAAAAGCCCTGGGATGTACCGTAGTTGCCCATCGACTGGCCGACGTACGCGAGACGCTCTTTGACGAGGACGTCGAAGTTGTGGCGATCGATGAGGGGCAATTCGTAGGTTTTTTTTCCATTTTTTTGCTGCTTTTTTGTACACTTTTCCTACCGTAACTTCCAATGATTTATTTTTCTTGCAGTACGACGACCTGGCCTCTACCTGTGAACAGCTTGCTGCCGATGGGAAGATTGTCATCGTCGCGGCCCTCAATGGAGATTTCATGAGACGGGTATGCATTTTAAAGGGTTTAACTTTAACTTTAAAGTGAACGCGACAACTACAAATTTTCGGAAATGGTGTTGAAATTTGGATTTTCTCCCTTTACAACTCCGGAAGAAATTTTGTGATAGTTTTTTTGCCTTCCCAATTCCTTTAAATGGAGCGAGACAGCTATATATATCGTTGGAAAACGCGGTGGAAAAATAGCAATCTGCGTTTTTTTTATTTTACAGGGAGTGAGACACTGATTTTTGACGTTTTTGAGCTTTAGTGAGATGGGTTTTTGGCTTCCAAGTCCCTTTAGAGAGAGCTTAGCAGCAATAAATCGCGAGAAATTTAATAGAAAATTATTTTCGCAATTTTCGGGTTTTCCTAGGAATTTTAGCATTTTCGGATAACTGTTAGACTTATTTTTTACATCCTACTGGCCTTTAAAGGGAGCGCGACAGCTATGGAACTTCACTTTACAAAAAAATTTCTAGCCGTTCGCCGAGGTGTCCAAGCTGATATCGTTCTCCAACGACGTCCGGAATCTGTCGGCTGTTTGCATGCGCTGTGGCACGGATGCATCATACACATTCAGGAACACCAAAGAAACACAGGTGAGAGAGAGGGTGAAGAGAGAGCGAGAGAGAGAGAGCAAGAGAGAGAGAGAGAGAGGGAGAGAGAGAATATACTAATCTGTTTTTTCCAGGTCGAAGTCATCGGCGGCTCCGACACGTATCAAGCTCTCTGCCGTGCCTGCTATTATGCATCTTCAATTGCTAAGGTGAGGCGAGAGAAAGTGAGAGAGTGAGCGAGATAGAGAGAGCGAGGGAGAGTAGGGAAAAATACGTATTCTCGATTTTTCATTTCTTAAACCGCTAATTTTCCTTTTTTTTCAGTGCCACGACACGTGCTCCAAGCCCAACCGCCGCACCTGCAATGGATAATTTTGCTCTCTGTCTTTAACCCTCTCTAATGTCTATATATTTCCGCGCCGCTCCTACTGACAATTCCACAATTTACCCCCCTGTATCTCTGAATATACCGACCAAAAAACGTTCCGTGTCTTTCCGCCTGAAAACGTGTTTTTTTTTGTCCTCCTATTTTCATGTATTTTTTTTTTGTAAAATTGGGTTGCGGTGAATAAACTTTCTTTGGATTTTTCCTCAATTTTCTGTGTTGGTTTGCCATTTCCGCAAAGATTCCGTGCTAGCCTGCCCGTTCCTAAAGAATCTTGGCTACCCTGCCTTTCCCGGTGCTGATTCATTAACGGGGGGGGGGCTAAATTTCCTAAGAAGCCGTATTATGCTAGATAAACTATTTTCATAGAGCTTTGCGCCTTTTAGAAGTTTAAAGTTAATAACAAATTTAAGGAAAAAAGAGTTTTGTCTGTTTTTAGAAATTAAAAACGAGTAAAAATTGAAGAGAAAAGAATTTTGTATTTTTTAGAAACTAAAACCTGGTAAAAATTTAAGAATAAAGAATTTTGTATTGTTGAGAGTATCACTGGTTAAAAATTTAAGGAAAAGTTTCTTTTCTTTAACGGCCCGTTTCCTAAAGGATCCCTGCTAGTTTCCCCTTACTCGACCAGTGATTTTTGAGGTTTTCCCGGGTTTCCCCGCGCTGACCGGGCCCTATTCTTAGGGCCCCCGCCTGCAAAAAGTGTGAAAACTCACGGTCAAGTGCCCTTTTATGCCAAAAATAACCCTTGTGTCAAACTACCGATGAATTGGAAGTTAGGTGCCAATCAGCAGCCGTCTGTGGCCGTATATTTGCTAAAAGGTGTCCCCCGTTGCTGCCTTGGGCACTCGTCGGCTTATTTGAAGAAAAAACGATGTGGGGGAGCGCGGAAAGTCGTGTTCACACATTTCGGCACACCTCAAACATCAGAGCGAGAAAAAGGAGAGAAAGAATGAGAGGCAGATTGAGCACGAAAAAAGATGCGAGAACTTTGAACGTCTACCGGAGGTTCGGGGGGTTAGAAAGTTCTGATTTGGGCGTAAAAAAATGTGACAAAACGCTGGAAGTCAACGAAAATGGATATATTTAGCGTTTAGAAAGCACTATCGCGTAAAATTATAGTATAAAAGGGTCGAAAAAGATTTAACTTTCCTTTTAGCTCGTTTCTACCCAAATGTTTGCCTAAAAATTGCTAAAACCAAACCAAGAAAAGCTGGAAACAACGAAAAGCGCCAGATTTAGTGTTTAGAAAGAATTATTACCTAAAACAAAGGTATAAAACTTTTAAAAATACTAAATTTCCTTAGTTTGGCTGTAAACTATCGAAAATTCACCGAAAACGGTGCGAAAATCTGCAGGAAAAAAACGGAAATCTACTATTAATTATAGCTGCTCAGTAAGCCTTTTTCTATACAATTTTTACAGGGCAGACTGGCCGAGATTCTTTAGGAAACGCTCCAGCCCGCGGAGTTCCCTACGTTTCAGTCCAAACCACACTGCCCAGTGACAGGGCCAAGAGCTAGGGATTTTCGTACCTACAGCTTTTTGCACGTTTTGAAGGTCAAGACACTTGAATTTTAAGATTCTGATGTCATTTTCGGAATCCTTGATAATTTTTACCCATATTTACTTTTTAAAACATCGAAATTGGGCTTATTTTGGCGGAGAACGGTTAGTTGAGCCTTTTTGCGACGGGGATTCGGTTACGCTAGGTATTCATGCCCGCCCACCCAGAAAATGGTGAAAAACAAATAAACTTGTTTTGCTAAGTTTTAATACTTTTAAACTAGTAAATTAGGTTTTTGATACCTTTTAATGATCAGAATCGATGGAGAACAAGTTATGCCAGGTATTCCACTATCTAAAACTACGAAAAAACCCCATTTTTCTTGCCTTTTTTAGGTATTTTTGTGGATTTTAAAGTTGTTTTATATTTCTTGTATCCGTTTTTTAGGGGAAGAGATATTTGTGCTTTTATCTTTCGGCTCTTTCCCTTATTTCTCAAATCCTAGGTTTTTGCGTGGTTTTTCAAAATTTTTCATTCCAGATGCGCGCCACTTCCTCCAGAATCTCTGCTAGCCGGCCCGCCTCAATGGACAAAGCTTTATCGCTTGAAAGGTTCGAGTTGCGTTAATTTTTAAGCCATTTTGATTTAGGTTTTCGGCGAGCTTCGGTGATGTCGAAACGGCCATCAAGCCCGGCGTCTCCCTCAACGATCTCTGCTAGCCTGCCCAAGCGCTGTTGATGGAAATGAGACGAAACAGTGAGTATTTTTCGAGGGTTATTTTTTATTGGAGTTTTCGTTGACGTAGACTAGTTAGGGTAATTCCATGGGGTAAACGGTTTTTCTCATACGAAATATCGCTGTTCCGAAAGAATCTTTGCTAGCCTCTTGCATCTATTTCTCAAGCGATCCCTAATCCTACAAAAATCCCTGCTAGCCCGCCTAGAAAAAATATTTTTCGCGAACCACCCGGAAATCGGAGTCCCGCAGCCCATTTTATGACAGCCGCCCGTTCCGTGACAATACGATCCCGAACGCCCCAAGCAATAAGATATTTATTTGCGGAGCTCACGCGTAGATTTTTAGAGCAGATCACACCCGAAAAGGGGCCTGCACGGATTTTTGCGGAAATTCGTGGTTTAGACCCACAGACTTCCCGGTCCCTTTAAAATTAAAATAAATTGCCTAGAAATAATCTTATTTATTTGAGGGGCTGAAATTTCGATTTTCATGGCGCAGGCTCTAAAAAGCTAACAAACTAGCAGGGTTTCTTGAGGAAATGCTGAAGATAAAATTTGGTCTTTCCGGTCCCTTCCAACCTACCGTAATCTGGCTCCAAAATTGCCAAGAAATTGGCATAGAGGCTCAGGCTCTAAAAAGCTGCCTAGCAGGGATTCTTGCGGAAATTCTTTGCTGGAAATCTAGACTTCACGGTGCCTTTGGAACTACAGTAGCCCCGGTTCTCAAAATGCCCTAGTTTTGCCTGGCTGTTGCCGATGTCAGTCGCTGATCACCTAAAGCTCCCCAAGGATGCTAAAGAAAACCGCCGAGTAGTTTGAGGTTTTCTCTCTATCTCTCTCTCTCTCTCTCTCTCTCTCTCTCTCTCTCGCTCTCTCGCCGGGCGTGTGAACTGCGATGTCAAATATTTTACTGGGTGTGAAAAGCCGTTTGTACTTACCGACCAGCTTTTTTTAACGCTACCCCGGCCCAGGGTCCCGCCTGGAAAAAGGGGCACTTGAACAATCGTGGAAACTTGTCCGGGGGTTTAGCTTGAAGGTAGAGATCTTTGAAAACCAAAGAGAGGGCTAGCTAGCAGAGATTCTTGAAAAAATCGACAAACGAAGAAAAGACTGTAACAACTAGCAGAGATTCTTTAGGAAAAGACAGGCTAGCAGGGACTCTGTAGGACAGGGGGAGGTAGCAGAGATTCTTTAGGAAAGGGCAGGCTAGCAGAGATTCTTTAGGAAAGGGCAGGCTAGCAGAGATTCTTTAGGGAAAATTGCCTTGTTTTTGGTGTCATTACACATTTAAAAAGCCGCCATTGAGTGATCAAAGACTACCGGTTTTCCTGTAAAGAAACGGTGTGCACAATTTACCCTTTGGCCCCCTCCATTCCAGGCCTTCCACCCATTTTTTCTCAGCGTCCCACCCCAGCCGCGCAACTTGGCAAATAGCCAAACAATAGACTGTCTCACCGAACTAGCACCCGGGGAAACACCTACTTTCTCACGTTAACACCTCTGAATTACTCACTTTTCCCTAAACTTTTCCGTCCTTTACTCCTTACGCTTTTCCGGCCTTTTTCGGATGGTCAGGAACGTTTTTTGGTCCTGGGCCCTAGACGCTCAAACATCAGAAAATTGCAAAAAATGATCTGCGGTGACCGGCAAGCCAATCGTTTCCTAAAGAATCTCTGCTAGGCTGCCCATTTTTAAAGAATCCCTGCTAGGCTGCCCCTTCCTAAAGAATCTCTGCTAGGCTGCCCCTTCCTAAAGAATCTCTGCTAGCCTGCCCCTTCCTAAAGAATCTCTGCTAGGCTGCCTCTTCCTAAAGAATCTCTGCGAGGCTGCCCCTTCCTAAAGAATCTCTGCTAGCCTGCCTTGTGTTGAATTTGATATTTCCTGAGTTGCTCTGAAATTCCCTAAAAATCTCTGCCAGCTGCCTAGGGCCTCTCAAAGGATTTTTGCTACAATTCCCGGAATTCCAAGACGATCTCTGCTGGCTTGCCCTCAAATTCAGCCCTTTCTAACTCAACCAGACTCAAAAATTCGCAAATCTGATAACCGTAACGCGGAAAGAAACGGACTGGCAGACGTTTCCCCCGTGGATCGTTTCCCTTTTTCTTGCCTCCCAGTTTTTGCCCCGTTTTTCCGGACGGCAAAACCCAGTGAACCGTGAGGGGGAATTGGTTTTGGCCGGCATTCTCTGAAAAACCGATGGCAACTTTTGACTACCCCAAATTTCGGTAGTACTTGAAAAATTAAAAATCCCCAATTGTCACCGCTAGATTGCCTGCCCCCAAAAACAATTATATTCCTAAAAGGTCTCTGCTAGCTTGCCAACTCTTTTTGTAGGAACGTATTCCGAGACAATACTATGTTGGGGGTATTTTTTCAAAGAGCCGCAATTCCCTGCCCTACTTACGATCTTGAAAACGCGATAAAATCTCAAGGAACTCGGCGGGTCCCGGCCTTTTTTGACCCCATTCCGAATATTACTACTGACGTATTGTTTGTTTTTTGGAGTGGGCAAGCTAGCAGAGATTCCTTAGGAAAGGGCAGGTTAGTAGAGATTCTTTAGGAAAGGGCAGGCTAGCAGAGATTCTTTAGGAAAGGGCAGGCTAGCAGAAATTCTTTAGGAAAAGGGCAGGCTAGCAGAGATTCTTTAGGAAAGGGCAGGCTAGCAGAGATTCTTTAGGAAAGGGCAGGCTAGCAGAGATTCCTTAGGAAAGGGCAGGTTAGTAGAGATTCTTTAGGAAAGGGCAGGCTAGCAGAGATTCTTTAGGAAAGGGCAGGCTAGCAGAAATTCTTTAGGAAAGGGCAGGCTAGCAGAGATTCTTTAGGAAAGGGCAGGCTAGCAGAGATTCTTTAGGAAAGGGCAGGCTAGTAGAGATTCTTTAGGAAAGGGCAGGCTAGCAGAGATCCTTTGGGGAATGAGATGACGCTCAGACAGTCTAGGTTCTCTCTCTCTCTCTCTCCACATCACTTTTTCTATCACCCCTGACCCTGCAAAAATGCAAATCACCGCCGGGATTCTTGACAAGAAAATTGGATCCCCATTTCGGCGCGGGCTACGCGCCCAATTCCCGCCACCCCAAAATGTGGCGGCCACAAAAAAGGCCGAGATTCCGCAGCATTCCAAAATACGGGTCAGATCGGGCGCTGGAAGGTGTCGGAATGGGACAGGAAATAGCTTAAAATTGTCGAAATGGTATCTGCTAGCTTGCCCGGGATTTCCCAAGAATCTTTGCTAGTTGGTTGCCTGGGTTTTTCGGCCATTCCTAAAAATCCCTGCTAGCCTGCCTAAAATTCCCTAATTGCCACGCTAAGCTGCCTATAATTCTTCAAAAATTCTGCTAATCTCTCGGAAATTTCCCAAATTGTCTCTGTTACCTGATCGAATTTTCTGAAAGATCGTTGCTATTCTCCTTCCATTCCTAAAGGACCTCTGCCAGTTTCCCCAAGTTTCCGCAAAAATTTCTGCTAGCTTGCTCAAAATTGCCCAATTGTCAAAATCTCTGCTTACTTTCCAATCCTAAATGATGGAAAGTAACTCCAGCTGCTGGTTGACCTCAAAAAATTTTCTCAATAATCCCCGCTAGTTTGCCACAAATTCCCCAATAATCGTTGCTAGTCTACCCAATCTCTGCAAACCAGGGCCCAGGTCCAAAAAGGGGCGTGGCTGCACCGGGTAGCTATTTTCAGGCTGGTCCCGCTGGAGCTGCAGAATCCTACCGTAACCCCCTCCTGGGGCACGTTTTATTTGCCGATAGAGGCGGGAGTTCCCAGAATAAAATCGTGAACGAACAGCCGGGGTATAAAGCCACACTTCGAAGGGGGCACCGTTTAGAATGGGCAATTTGCACGCAATAATAGACCAGATTTTCCTAAAGAATCTGTGCTAGCCTGCCTTTTCCTAAAGAATCTCTGCTAGCCTGCCTTTTTCCGAAAAATCTGTTTTCTAAGTCGAAATTTTGCTGTTGGTTAATTTCATAGTTATTTTAAATGCTGAATAAGGCAATTTAAACCATTTTACTACAATTTTACCTTTTTAGAAGTCAAAAACTTTTCAAAAATTGAAAAATAATAAAAATGTCGAAATTTTGAATTTTTAGAAGTGTTCTGATCTATCTTTTCTTGGGTTACACTGTTAAACCATATCCCCCCGGCTAATGCACCAGAACCCCATTTACTAAATGATCTCGGCTAGCCTGCCCATTTCCTTAATGATCTCTGCTAGCCACACAATTGCTCATAAATCATCCGCATTCCACCCCATTCCTAATTTCACTTCCTCCCCCCTTTAAACGCTTGATTATTTGTGCGGGCTGTCTGTCTATAGGTGTATAAGGGAAAAATGCGGAAAACAATGCGGGTGGAACGCCCTCGAGGCGGACTTTTTGCGGCTGCCTGTAACTAACGGCGGAAGAAGGGGGCGCGAAATGCCCCCCGGCTATCTCTCTCTCTCACTCTCTCTCTCTCTTGCCCTCTCTCTCGCCCAAAAAAGAGGGAAGATTAAGACGCTCTCGATTGGAGTGAAAATTCCAATCCCACCTCCCCCCGGCCTGAAGCAGTGAAATCACAATTTCTGATTACTTCTTTCGCGGCCACTATTCTTCCCACGAAGCGGTCATTTTTCGCTACCGTAACCCGCGGATTGTTGCGTAATTTGGAGTATTACGGAAAATCTTTTAAGGTTTTGCTTTAATGCTCGGATCTATTTAATCAGATTTTCTATTCCTTAAGGGTCCTTTAAAGCCTACAGTATCCCTGCGTACTTACGCAGCCTCCCGTAGTCGGTGGCGAACTCTCAGAGATTCTTTGGGAAATCGGTTACGGTATTCAGATCGTCTATGCCTTCATCTTCCCTTCAAAGCCCTGGTGTCATTGTGTAGCATAACGTAGTCGAGTGCGGCTAACTGGCGGAGTTTCTTTGGGAATTCGGCATACTTGTTCTGATTTTCTATTCCTTGAAGTGCCCTTTAAATACTACAGTAACCCCCTGCGTCATTATGGAGCTTCTCGTAGTCGCAACTTGACCAGTTAGCAGAAATTCTAGGGAATTGCGCAAATTTTTCGGATTTTCTCTGCCTTCCTCTGCCCTTTAACCCCTCAGGTAACCCTGCCTAACTACGGAGCCTTTCGTAGTTAATGGTGAAGTACTGTATTCAGATCGTCTATCCCTTCAGTTGTCCTTCAAATCCCTGGTGTCACTACGTAGCGTAACGTACTCAGCAGCGGTTAGCTAGCAGCGATTCTTTGGGATCTTGGCATCCTGCAGTCAGATCATCCTATTTTCATTTTTACAGTAGCCCCGAATCTGCATTTTTTTACTCTTTTTTCCATGTTTGCGTCTTGAATAGTACCCATTTTTCAGGATGGGCCGCGAGTGGCGATCAGGATGGCTTTTGGCCGTATTGTTGGCGTTGGCCGGAGCACAACAACAGGCTGAAGACGTTCAGGATGTCATCATTATTGGAGCGGGACTGGCTGGGCTGTCGGCAGCGAATAGGATTCTTGATGTGAGTGCTTGGGGCTGGCTAGCAGAGATTCTTTAGGAAGGAGTAGGCTAGCAGAGATTCTTTAGGAAAGGGCAGGCTAGCAGAGATTGTTTAGGAATGCAAATAATTAATCCTCTTTTTTCAGCAATCCCCCTCCACAAAGCTGCTCGTGCTCGAAGCGAAAGAAGCGAGTGGAGGGCGTCTCCTCGCCCATCAGATGAAGACAGCGCAGGGCCAGCAGGCCGTCGACATCGGTGAGTTCAGCTTGCGAATGGTCTCTACAAAAAACCCGGGATTTTCCTCAATGATCGCTGCTAGCTTGCCCACGCTAATTCCCCTTTTTCCAGGCTCCCAATGGATCGGCCCCAAGCACACGGCCCTCCTCGCGTTGGTCCAGAAATTCGGGTTGACCGCTGAAGTTCAGGTATTGTGATTTTTTGCTTTTTTCATGTGAATTTTGCATTTTTAGCCAATATGCGGCGAGCGCATCATCCTCAGCAAGAACACCGCGGGTACCAACTTTTTGAGCAGGAGGCGGAAGAGGTGAAAATTCAATTAGGGCTTTTGATAAAAATTTTCAGATCGTACCAGTGGTCATCTCTCGGCACGAGCCCCTCAATCTCTGATGTCTTCTCCTCGTCTGACCTTGCCGAATTTGGTGGAGAATCCGCCGCCGGTTTCATCAAGAGCGGCAACCTCGACTCGGTCGATGGCGATGGCATTCGACGACTTCTGCAGGTTTGGCTGTTTTTCTGGCCGTATTTCCTAAGGAATCGCTGCTTGATTGCCTAAGCAAGCTAGCAGCGATTTTTGGAGAATCGGATTTCGTCCGAAATTTTCGTATATTTTTTTGTTCAGGTGTTCTACGATGCGCCCGACACCACCGTATCCGCCCTCCAGCTCCTCCTGACGGCCAGCAGCGAGAATTGTGGGTTTTTTGCTAAGATTTGCTTTCTCAACGATTTCAAGCCGTTCAACCCGATTTCTATTTTTATCCGATTTTTTTATGTAAAAAGGAAAATCGTAGTCCTGATCGGCTTGAAGTCGTTGGGCGGCCTCAGCAGAATTTGTTCTAGTTTTCATTTCTCGATTTTCAGCGACGATCGACGATGTGCTCTCGGAAATGGGCCACGGTACTGGGCTTCGTGTGAAAGAGGGATTGGGACAGTTGGTTAGGTACGCCTTGATTTTTTTTTGATTTTTTTTTTAAGCAGAGATCATTTGGGAAATGAGAATCTAGCAGGGGCGCTTGCGGAAAATCTAATCTTTTATTCATATTTTGGCAAGGTAGCAGAGGTCGTTTCGGATAGCTTTTCCCTTTTAATTAATTTGTTGGGTTTAAAATGAGGAAAATTCTATTTTTTTTTTAGCAAACTGGCCACCCGGGATGGCCTAACGATCACCTACAGCTCGCCAGTCACCACGATTTCTCAAGGTATTTTTTATTAAATTTTACCGGAATTTCTTCTTCTGTTTTTTATCTAATTTCTAATATTATTTTGTATCAAATTAAATGGACTTTTTTAGAAGACGACGGCACGCAAACGATCACGGCTGGAGGCAAGAAATATTCGGCAAAACAGGTCCGTTTTTCTCGATTGTTTTGCTATCATTTTGCTGAAAATTTGGCTTTTTCGCTTCAATGTTCCTTTAAAGTTTAGATTTTATTTCTAAGGTTTGATTTTATATTTATAATTTAATAATTTAATATTTTTGCAATTATATGATAAATAATAATACTTTATTATGATTTGAATTTTACTTTTGAAATTATTTTTTAGGTGATCATCGCCGTGCCGCCAGCCATCGCCGCCGGCATCGACGTCAACCCCGCGTTGCCCCAGAATTTGGCGGCTTTCCTTGGTAGGTGGAGGGCTAGCAGAGATTCCTTAGGAAGGGGGAGGCTAACAGGAATTTTTTAAGGTGTTTTAATCCCGATTTCCAGGTTCCTACAAGCCCCGCGGATTCGCCACCTACTTTGCCCTGACCTACTCGACCCCGTTCTGGCGTGAAAACGGCAATTCCGGGCAGGTTAGGCATTTTAAATGGCTTCTAAAAGTTTTTTTAAGTTTTTAAGAATTTTAAAGAAAAGAATTTGATTTTAAATTACATTATTGGTTTTCGGTATTTTTTAATTGTTTGTAATTTTAGATCATCTACGCTGGAACTGGCGGTGATCTGCTGTGGCTGACGACATTCGACACGAGCGACAACAATGGATGCGGTACGTTTTTTTACTCGCTAGTTCGTTCGGAAAAACGCTTTTATTTCGAATAGGAGTGGATTTTGAAGCAGGGCAAGCTAGCAAAAGATCTTTGAAGCCAGAAGATTCTTAAAAATTGCTACTTCGTAGGGGTGCTAGCAGATATTTTTGAGGAAATTGGATTTCCAGGCAAGCTAGCAGAGATTATTTGGGAAAGCGCAGCCTAGCAAAGATTCTTTAGGCATTTCTAAATTATGACGATTTTTCAGCGTTCGAAGGAACGCCCGGCGTGCTGTGGGGAATTGCCCATTTTGGCAGCGATTCGCTGAATGCTGATCAGAGGTATGTAAGCAGTACGGTAGCGGAATTATTCATACTTTTTAGGTATGCCGCCTACGTCAAAGTGATGGCAGAAGCTTTCCCGAATTCTGGCGATCCGCTTGATCATTTGTGAGTTTTTTAGCTTATTTCCTAAAGAATTTTTGCTAGCCTGCCCTTCCCTAAAAATCTCTGCTAGCATGCCATTCAAATTTCACTATTTTTCAGCGACTACCAATTCTACGACGACGAATACGCGCTCGGCTCCGTTGGCACGCTGCCAGTACAGCAGAATACTGATGACGTTGCCGCCTTCTTCGAGGCGTTCAACGCCGATGGACCACAACTTAACCAGGTACGATTGTTCTCTCTCTCTCTCTCTCTCTCTCTCTCTCTCTCGCTTACCAAGCCATGCTCAATTTTCTAGCATAAAAAACATAAACGTCACCAAAAACGCCCGACGGTAAGGTGTAGCTTACTGTACATTTTCTATTTTTGCTGCTTGCCTCAAATTTTTGCTTTTTGGCCAGCTCGCAGAGATTCCTGGGAAAACTCGATTTTTTAGAGCCTCCACTTCGCCTCGGCCGAGTACTCCTCCACGTCGATGGGGATGATGAACGGAGCCGTCGTGCAGGGACAACATGTTGCTGACGTTGTCCTGAAGCAACTCGGCGCTGGAGATGAACAACAGGCTGGAGGAGTTGCTGCTGGAGTGGATGCCGCTGAGAGTACGGTGAGGAATTTTTGAAGATTGAAACAAAATAGAGAGGGCGAGACGGAGTGAGAGAGCGATGGAGAGAGAGAGAGAGCGGGAGAGAGGAAGAGAGAGAGAGAGAGAGAGAGGAGAGAGAGAGAGAGAGAGAGAGAGAGAGAGAGAGAGAGGAATACGGATTTTTTTAGACCCAGGAAGCCCCGGCCAGCTCGTCGCTGCGCTATCCAGATGACCTGACGCCGTTCGCGTATGAAACGAGCACACAATATGCAGCTAGCAGCACCCAGGAGGTAACCTAGCAGAGATTCTTTCGGAAGGGGCAGGTTAGCAGAGATTCTTTAGGAAAGGGCAGGCTAGCCGGAATTCTTTAGGAAAAAGCTCTCATTTATGCAAATTTCAGGCCGCGCCCGAATCCACGACCTCTCAGCCGCACTACGATTTCCAGTACTCCACCTCGCCACAGTATCCGGATATCCTGACGACCGGTGAGAATTTTTTCTGATTTTTTAGTATTTTTTTGCGCTAATTGAATTTTTTCTAACCGACTTTTTTCAGAATCCGCTTCATCCTCAAGCACCGCCGAGCCGGGCAGCACGACAACGTTCGACTACACAGCGGAATTCCTCGGAAAAATGGTAGGTATTTTTCTGTTTCTCTCTCTCTTTCTCTTCCCTCTCACCTCAACATTTTACAGCACGACGCCTTCAACAAGCCCAACGACACGACCGACGAGCCGACGGCTTCGAGCAGTACGGTCATCTACCCGGATCTGTTAATGCAAAGTGGGTTGATTTTCTGCTGCAGAGCGAGAGTGAGAGAGGTGGAAAGAGAGAGAGCCTTACCGAAGCAGAGAGGGAGAGAGCCCACGGTATTTTGACTTTCTGATCACTTTAAAAACGTTTTTAGACGAATCGACGACGCCGTTCGTCTACGAAACGAGCAGCCAATACGAGGCCACCACCCCGGATACGGTAGAAATATTTATTAATTTAAATTCAGCTTTTTTTAGACTGTCGCGCCACCCGAGCAGAAGCAGTACGACTTCCCCTACAGTACCAGCACACAGTATGCGCCGGAAGGTGAGTGAGAGAGAGAGAGAGCGCGCAGAGAGCGATAGAGAGAGTGTGTGAGAGAGAGAGAGAGAGAGGGAGCGAGAGAAGGAGAGAGAGACAGAGAGAGCGTGAGAGCGCGTGAGAGAGAAAGAGGGAGGGAGACACAGAGAGAGGGAGGGAGAGAAAGTGAGCGAGAGAGTGTCAGAGAGAGAGAGAGAGAGAGAGAGACAGAGAGAGGGAGAGAGGGCGAGCGAGAGAGAGCTAATCTTATCGATTTTGTTTGGTAATTTTTTGACATTTTTTTCCAGATCTCGGCTACGGTGAAGCTTCAACCACCGAATCGCCCGAAAATTCCACACTTCCCGACCGATTTGTGGTAATTTTTTGAGTTTTTTAGTTTTCTAATTTTTTACTAATTTTTCGACTACCGTACTACTTTTCCCACTATAGAAATTAATTCCTATTTTTTTGCACTTTTCTACTACTTTCCTGTACGCTACTTTACCCCCGTTTCCAGCCCGATCTCGCACCCCCACCTTCGAATCTCACCTCAAATGGCACCGACACCGACTATCCGGATGACCTTGTGGGCATACTTTAACGTTTCTATACCTTTTAACCGACTTTTTAATTTTTGAAATTGTTTAATTAATGAATTTAGCTAAATTGGCGTAAGTTTATGGTAAATAAGATTTAATTTCGTCAAAATTCGTGTATTTTCCATTTTTCAGATCAGCGCCGTCGGCCTGAACGCGACGCAACCGTCTAACGAGACTGAGGTGTGGTTTGGCATTTTTATTGGTTTGGTGGTTGAAAATTTGGCTTTTTGATTTCCAGAACATTTAATTTTCGACTTGATAGGTTAAATTGAAGGCTTTTAATTATTTTACAGACCTTTAAAAGGCGTAAAAATCGGTAAAAATGAATTAAGCGATTTTTCCACGCACTATTTTGCACTCGGAATACCGTAACCACCTCGAAACCGCACAAATTAATGCAAAATCTGAAATATCTGCTCCTACCGTAACTCAAAAATACCTAGAAAAGTGTTGATTTTTGGCATCCTTTCTTTTGCACTGAAGCTACCGTATCCTGGCCTCTGTAACGAGCACAAATTAATGGAAAACTCCGCTACCGTAAGCCGTATTTACCTACCGTAACCTCTCAAAAATGCACGAATTAATGAGATCTGGGATAACCACTAAACTACAGTAATCGGTACTTACCTACCGTAACCCGAAAATTTCCCTGATTTTGCACGTTTTACCCATTTCTTCTAGTCGACCTCACCCACCGAGAACCCGCTCGTCGACGATGTGATCAATTTGGTAATTAGCACCCTCGTTACCGTAACCCACCCTTTCCCCTCTACAGCTAAACGGCGAAGGAAACGCGACGCAGCCGCACGCACCGGGCAATGAGACGACGGTGGAGGATGCCGTACTGGACATAGTCGGTACCTTTAATTGTACTAAACACTCCTCTGCTCATTTTTAAAGGGACGGTGACAGGAGGGGGAAGTCCTTACCGGATCTCAAATTTTTCCAAATAAACCTTGCTAGCTACCCTTTTAAGCTGAACCCCGAGGGATTGGATAACAGCACCTTACCCTCTAATGGTACGGCAACCCCGGATGAGGTGTTGGGTTTGGTTGGTTTTCTCTGTTTTTCTGTCTCTTTTTCTCACTATCTCTCTCTCTCTCTCTCTCTCTCTCATCTCTCTGTCCTCTTCCTTCTAACCTTACTTTTTCTAGCTAAACCCTGATGGATTGGATAATAGCACGTCACCAGCTAACGAAACGGCACTTCCGGATGAAGTTTTGAACTTGGTTAGTATTTTCTCGTTCGTTTCTATCGCTGTCTTTTCCAGCTTAACCCTGATAACAGTACTTTACCCTCTAATGAGACGTCGATCCCGGACGAGGTGTTCAATTTGGTTCGTTTTTCCTTCTTTTTCTGTCTCTTTCCCAAAGATTTTTCTCTGCTTCTCTGCGCCGTCTACCAATTTCTATCTATCGCTAATTTTTCCAGCTTAACCCGGAAACTGTGGATAATAGTACGGTACCGGCTAACGAAACAGCACTTCCGGACGAGGTTTTAAACTTGGTTGGGATTTTCTAGTCCTTTTCTATCGTTATTTTTCCAGCTTAACCCGGATAACAGTACCTCACTGTCTAATGAAACGGCACTTCCGGATGCAGTTCTAAATTTGGTTCGTGGTTTCTAGCTCTTTTCCATAACTTTTCCTAGCTTAACGCAGAACCGTTGGATAATAGCACCTCATCAGCTAACGAAACAGCACTTCCTGATCAAGTTTTGAATTTGGTAAGCACTTATCTATCGCCTATATCTGTCTCTCTAATACGTTCTATCGCTTTCTATCTATCATTTAGTTTTTAGCTTAACCCAGAACCCTTGGATAACAGTACGTCACCAGCTAACGAAACCGTCTTACCGGACGAAATTTTGAATTTGGTTAGTGTTTTATGTTTTTTTTGCGCCATCTGTCACTTTTTATCTATCGCCTCTTTTCCAGCTTAACCCGGAAGGTATCGATAATAGCACATCTCCTTCTAACGAAACTGTATTACCGGATGAAGTATTAAATTTGGTTGGTTTTCCCTTACCTTTCTATCGATCCTTTCGTTTTCCAGCTTAACCCAGATGGATTGGATAATAGCACGTCACCGGGTAACGAAACGGCATTACCGGATGATGTTTTGAATTTGGTAATATCTTCTCTACTTATTTGAACAGTTATATCTTACCTATCTCGTCTTATTTTTCCTAAAGAATCGCTGCTAACCAACCCCCATTTCAGCTAAACCCCGAGACACCCCTAAACGGCACGGAACCCTCAAATAATGGCACCGATGTGGAGGTAGCACTTTCAACATTTTAGGAATTTTCCAAAAGGGTCTCTGCTAGCCTGCCCTGGCCTACAAATATAGTTTTATTAACTATAACCTCTTGTAATGCATGAAACCACTTTTCCCAACCCCCAACCCTTGGCACTTTTCCAGAGCACCACCACCCCGCACCCCGAAGAACCCGGGCTGTTTGACCTCGTCATGCAGCTGGTAACATTAAAATATGGAGATTTTTGGGTATCCTACTATATATAAAAAAATAGTGTTTGTGTGTGTGTGTGTGTGTGTGTGTGATACTTTGCATGCAACTTCCGTCACCATGTCCGGAGGATATCTCGATAGGGAACAAATTTTAAGGTATATATGATACGTCATTAGATGCGTAATGGCTCTGGGATGACTGCATGCTTATCAGATTTTACAAATTTAATTGTTTTAAATATTAAATTTCAGTTTTTGTAAAAATTTCGGAAACCCTCTTTGTTAGGAAACAATTAGCATGCACCGGAAGTGGTGGTAGCCTATTTAATCAGGTAGAGAGCGTAGTTTTTCATTTTTTCTCATCGGGTTTCGAGAGAATTATGCAGGGAGAAGAATATTATGGGGCATAGACAGGGCCAGGGTTGAAAAGTCGCGAAGCGGCTTTTCAACCCTGGTTTAGGATAGTTTAATAGTTTTAAATTATTCAAAAATGTCCTAAAAGTGTTATTAACGCTAAAAAACTAAGCTAAATTCGTAAAAATGTATTAAAAAAACTTCCTTAATCTGTTCAAAATGCTTTTTTTTGTGGTAGAAATCCTTCCAAAAATCGCGAAAGTAGTGCGTGTTATACTGTGTACACTTAATTTAATGCCGTAATCGGTTCAATGAGTTGCATTAAAATGCATTAAAGTGTAAACTAGGGTATATATCATTTTTTTCAGCTCAATCCGACCGCCTCGCCGGACACGACCAACTCGACTACACCCGAAAATACGACCGACTTTGTGAGTTTTATTTTTCTAGAAATGAGGCAGCCTAGCAGAGATTATTTGGGAGGATTAAATTTTTAATTGTTTACGCTTTTTTCATCATTTCATTTTCGTAATTTTGGAAATTGAAAGCGTTTATTTGGGGAAAGCAACGCATTTGAGTTCTTGCCACTTAGGGCATGCTAGCAGGGCTCATTGGGGATTTTTGGATCTTTCGATTTTTCCACGTATATTATGACCTTGATTTTTAGGACGTCTCCAACGTGACGAGCCCCAACAATGCGACCGAATTGGTAAGAAATTTACTTTTTTCCAAATTACCAATTTTTCAGGACGACTCCGCCTTCAACGCGACGACCCCACTGACGAACAGTACCGATTCGGGCGAGGTAACTTTAATTTTTACCGTTTTAAAGGACGCAAAACTACGAGCCAATCCGTGAAGGCGAGCGGGCGCGTTGCGTGTCGCTTATCGGACGCTAGAGAACGTTAAAAAAAACGAGAAAGAGCGACCCGCAACGCATACACCGATTTTTTGTATTTTGTATATTTTATAACGGTCAGTTGTATGTATTTTTGGCTTCATTTTAGCTTGGCTTGGCTTTGCTAGCTTGTCTATATTTTTTGTGGCTTTAGGAGCCCGAATTCGCCCGGCTGACCGTTCTCCGCGATGTCCAGTCCGTCCCGCAGCAGGATGATGTAGGCTTTTACTGCTTTTTGTGTATTTTGGAATTTAAAATGCATTAATTTCGTGCAGGCGGATTTTATGGCTGGTCATTTTCGCACTTTTTTGCCATTTTTATAGCTGAAATTATGCGCTTCGTTCAGCGGTGCTTTCGCATTATCGGGGGTGGAGTCGAATTTTCCGATTTTCCGAGAAGTCTAGAAATGCCTTAGAAGTGTTTTAATAGCGTTTTTAGTAAAATCAGCTATATTTCAAGTAGAAAACAATCAAAAATATCAAAATTTCGTCAAAAATTAGCTATTTTTGCTCGAGAAATCTTTTTTTTTCGTATTTTCTATGTATATTTTGTAAAGTTTTACGTTTAGTTATGATAAAAAGCAGTTTAGAAACAGCTACCCCCCCCGATATTGCAAAAGCGCCTATGTTTGAAAGCCCAAATTTTATGCTTATTTTTGGCTTCATGGCTTGCCTTTTTTAGATGGAGAACAACACCAGCCCCACGACAGAAGCCTTCGTCTATCAAACCTCTTCACAATACCCCCCAGGAGCTTTTGATGACAACGAGGTTCTTTTTGCTTTTATCGTTATTTTTAAACATTTTTTGCTTATTTTATTGCGGTTTAAAACTGATTTTTTTTCTTATTTGTCGCGCTGAAAAAACAACACGTTTTTGTTTTTTAAACAATTTTTAAGACATTTTGCATGTCATTTTACGCCAGTAATTCAAAAATATATTTCTTTTTAATCCTCAAATGATCTCCGCTAGCTTGCCCCAGCTTACAAACGCTTTTTGTAGCCCGAAGCGAGCAGCCAGTCGCCAGCCAGCAGCACCAGCTACGCCTTCCTCTACCAAACGTCGAGCCAGTATCCGCCGCATACAGCTGCTTTCCGCGAGGCTACGAGTGTACAGGTGTGTCGCGTAGCTAGCGTTTTTTGCGCCTATGGATTTGGCTTCAATGTGCCTTTAGACGCTTAAAAATTGGTTTATTGCGTGAAAATGGCGAAATAGGCAGCAAAAAGCTTATTTCATTTGTGTTAGCTGCTCAAAATTACGCTACATTCCGCTCCTAATGACGCGGATTTTTGTGCGCGAGTTGCTAATCGTTTTTTTTTATGTTCCCATCGCTTTAAAGCAGTGAAAATGAATTTTTCGACCTAAACATTACTTTTTCTTCGGATTTTTCATGTTATTTTGATTTTCACGACCGAGGCGATCTAGCAGACTTCCTTGGGGAAGCTAAATCCCTTTTTTAGCCCGATCTGAACACGCTGCTCCTCGCCGATGAGCCCCTGGTTCAACTTCTCAACGCGACAACACCAGAAGCCCCAGCCGCAACGAGCAATGCAACGGAATCGGCCGAAGATCTCATCCAGGAGGCCGTGCAGACCGTCGAGCAGAACATCAAAAAGGTCAGCGTTTAGATTTGGGCTTTATCTCGATTTATATAGAATTTTAAAAACTCTAAAATCGTTCGAAAAGCTTTGTTTTTTGGTTGTTTAAAGGGGGCTTAAAAACTCTAAATCACGTTTTTACTGGAAAAGCTTTAGGTTAATTATTGAGGCTTTTTAAACTCTACAATATTAAATACTGTACCTCTTTTTACAAGTTCTAGCACTCTCTTTTAAAAGATGTGGACAGTTCTAGCGTTTAAAAACTGTAAAAGCTGTTATTTTTCCAAAAAACCTTTGGCATTAATACTACAACGATTTTAAAACGTTAAAATCCAATAATTTTTTGACCGGCAAGCTTCTGTGGAGTTTTAAAAGTCTAAGTTTTACCTGAAAAGCTTGATCTTAAGTTTTAAAAACACTAAAATCTCATAAATTGCCGGAAGCGCTTTGCCTTTAATTTTGTAAAGTTTTTAAACGTTTTGCAACATTTTAAAAGTTTAAAAAATCTGAAAATCGTAATTTATTTAGATAGAAAAGGCTTTAGCTAATTATCCAGGTTTTAAAACGGCAAAAACCGTACATTTTTATCGGAATAGGTTTATTTTGCAATTATCAAGAGCTCTAAAACCTGTAAAAACGTATTTGTTAACCAAATCGAGCTTTAGGTCCCTCCCACTGAGCGGAAACCGATCGCCGCCCGACTGTCGAACGCGCTGGCCGCCCTGCTGAACCTGGTGCGACGACGGTGATAGGCGCGTAGCGTAGCGCTTGGCCCCCTCAGGATTGTTTATCTCATCGAGTATCCAAGGGTTTAAAGGTATCCTAAACGTTGCTAGATGCTAAGAATTGGTTTTTACAGATTTAAAAATTCCTTAAAAGTTTAAAACAGAATTTCTAGCTATAGCCAGCTAACTATCTAAAGTTTAAATCCTTAAAAAAGCTTCACAACTTAAAACAAAAACTTGCCAACATTTTTCCGCCTTCACTTTTTTGTGCTCGTGCTCTCTTGCTCCTCCTCTCAGTGGCCTTCCACCCCCTGTTTGTACATGCATTTAGACGGTTATTCTCCCCCCTCACTTTCCATGGTTTTTACGTTTTTAACGGCGCGCGCTTTGCCCTCAAATTTTTCTCCTGCTTCCGGTTCGCAATATATGGGTCCCGACCCGCGCGCGCTACTCAAATTGTGCTCGAATAAAATGTAAAATTGCAAAAAAAAACTATAAAATTACATAGAATTCGTATTAAAAACGAAAACGCGAAAAACACCCGAGAAACAGCGACAAATGAAAAAAATGACACGAAAAACCCAGTTAAAGCTATGGAAATACGGTTCTTGCGCATTATCGGGGGGGGGGGGGGCATTTTCCTAATGATGTAATCAGTGTTTTAATGGTGTTTTAGCAAAATCTAACTATCTTTGAAGTGGAAAACAATAAAAAAAAACCCTTAGCAACTTTTTTAAGTGAAATTTCGGTCGCAAAAAGGCAATTTTTGGCTCAAAAATCGATATTCTTCTATTTTTTCATCAAAATTTGTAAAGTTTTTACGTTTAGGAATCGTAAAAAACCATTTAAAAACCCTTACTTTATTTCTATTAAAAAACTGGATCCTTAGAAAAATCCCCCCCCCCCCGATAATGCCAAAGAACCGCAAATCCCTGAAATAACTATAACCCTTGATAAATTATGCCGATAGATATGACAACGTGAATGGGATTATCACAGAAAAACCGAGGAAACCGCAATATAATACAAGTATTAATGCAAAAAGAATATAAATCAGAAATTGGCTATAAATTGTGCACATAAAATCAGTTAATTGGGCTCTTATCTTCTTGCTGGGGCTGCTCCACGTCGCCGAACACCATCAGCACGACGCCGCCCAGGATGAGCAGGCAGCTGACGATGCCGCGCGCGGAGAGCGTCTCGCCGAGCAGCGCTCCTAAAAGGAATAAAAATACAGAGGCTAATAACTATAATATAATTACAATATAAAATTCTATTTATAAATAATAAGGTTATTACATAAACTTTACAAACTAATTTTATCGATCTCATAACTAACAAATCGTTTAATCCACGATTTACTAAACAAATGTAAGTAAATCGTTAAACTTTTATGTTTTTAAGCTAATTTAACAACAAATAAGCTAGTTTTTAGTATAAATAAATCATTAAAATAAAGTTTCTACAATAATTTATCAATAAGTAATTTATTTACGCGAAAAAAACATAAATAAACTATAAAAACATGCTTTTTCTAGCAATTTACTAATTAAAACCGGTTTAACAAGCATTTAAACAATGAATTTGATAAATAGATGTAAATGATGAAAATCTAAAGCTTATTTACTTATTTACAAGTAGTTTAACAAATTATTTTCACGAAATTTGCTCTAAATTTTGAAAATCAGCAGATTAAAGTTAATGTAAACATTACAAGCTTATTTCATATTACACTTTTCTAATAAATAAACCATTTAATAAACTAAATACTAATTAAATTTAGTAAATCGTTTACGAAACATACAAATTTTACCTGCTATGGCCGCAAAGACGAACTGCAACGAGTTGGTGGCCGGGACGACGACGGAGACGGGCAAGTGCACCACCAGGTACGTGAACAGCAACTAAAAATAGATAATAAATATCGTAAAAAATAGATTCCAGCCATTTTTTATTATTATTTTCAAAACCGCAACTCACCCCGCCCGCCTGGTTCAACAAAAACGGCACGATGAAGCGCCAGTTGGAGAGGAAATGCACCACTTTTCCGCAAACGCCTAAAAAACAAATTCCAGGGACTTTTAGGTATTTTCTCACCTTTTCCCGGCTTCTTCTCCTGCTGATACTTCGTGCCGAGCCTCATCAGCGGGTTCGTCGCGCCCCAGATCGCCGAGACGAACACGATTTGGCCGAGGCAACGCGCGTCACATTGCATCGCCTAGAATTTGACGTATTTTAGAGCGTTAAAATAGGTATAAACAGTTGAATTTTACGAAAAAAAGAATATTTTTGTGACATTTTCTATTTGATCAAGCTTGCTCATCGATTCCGTATCGCTACTTTCGACGCTTTCACACCGTGCTCTCCTTGCAATAGTTTGGCCCCGATAATTCCCTTATCAACAATTTGTTTTCTATAACTTTCTAAACTTTGTTCTCGCTTTAAAATGATGTTTTATACTATATTCTACGTTTTCAGGTATGGACGAGGACGCGGAGCTGATCCCCGAGAATCTACGACGGCCGCCCGACGAGCCCGCCTCCACCTCGAAAAAGACGCCCACCTCGATCAAGGACTACAATGTCATAAAGGAGGTGAAGTAGTTTTTATATCTTTTTACACAAGTTTTAGATAGGTGAAGGCTCCATCAGCACCGTCTACTACGCCAAGGAGATGTTCGGCGACAGACGGGAAGTGGCCGTCAAGTCGTGCCAAAAGCGACGCATTTTACGAGATAAATTGGTAAGTTTTAGGCTTGTTTTTGCTTGCTTTGTGAATCTAAAAGATGTATATATTTAGGTAGACGCCGTGATGCGTGAGAAGAACATCCTGGCCCGCCTCTCCACTGCCGAAAACATGCACCCATTCGTCGTCGGGCTCTACTGCACACTGCAAGACGCCGAGACGCTCTTCTTCGTCGTTTCCTACGCGCAGAGTGGGTTTTTCGCGACGCTAATAGGGGAGAAATAATAATTAAATAAGCTTGAAAAGTTGGAAACCGTAGCTGGCTAGACAAACCAATTTTGTTTTGGCTGAGGAAGGCTTGTTAAAAAGAAGCAAAACTTTTTTTGTTGCTAGGAAGTTTTGCCTCGGTAAGACTTATAAAACATGCGTAAAATTCGCAAAATTTGAAGGTTTTGACGTTGTTTTAGATATTTTTACGCCAAAAAACCATCAATTTCAGCATTTTTATAGGTTTTGAATCGATTTTTGCGATTGCGAGAATTTTAGCGCTTTTTAAGCCTGAAAGGGTTGGTTTTAGGGTTCCCCAAGGATCTTTCCTTTTTTTTTTTTTAAAGTTACTAGACTAAAAACTAAACTTACTGATACTAAAACTTTTCAATTCGAAAAATTGGATGAAAAAGTTAAGTTTCTTTGTGGAAAATCGAAATTTCCATTTTTTACGTTATAAAATTGATTTTAATTTTTTTATTTTTTGATGGAAAATTGTACAATAACAACTTTTATATTTAGAAGGCGACCTGGCGACGATCATCCAGAAGCTGCCCGAGAAAAGGATGACGTTGGAGCAGTCGCGGTTCTATTCGGCTGAACTTTTGGCAGCTTTAGGTAATAATTTCTAAGATTTTTGATGATCCTATTTTTTAAGGCCACATCCATTCGCTCGAGGTGATCCACCGCGACGTGAAGCCGGACAACATCCTCGTCAAGGCCGACGGCCACATTTTGCTGTCGGATTTCGGGTCGGCCAAGGACCGAACGCTGCCCGAGAAGGAGCCACAACCCGATCCGAGGTGAGAATCAGGATTATCGATAGCTCCACCATCTCTTCTAGTTTTTTATTTACTGGCTTTTGTATTTTTTCCAAAGTTATCGATTTTAACGAAAATGAAAATAGGTTTTCGGCTCTTTCGCGTTATCGGGGGCTTTTTCGTATAATTAACGTACTAGAAGTTTTTTCAGCAAGATTTAGCTATATTTTAAAAGGAAAAACAATTTTTAAAAGGAATTTTACTTGGCATTTTTGTCGAAAATCGGCCATTTTTTATTAAAAAAAATCGATATTTTTGTATATTTTACTCGATATTTGCAACGTTCTTCCGTTTAGGAATAGTAAAAAAATAGCTTTGAAACCCATCCCCCTATTTACATGCAAAAAAATTAGATCTCTGTAAAAAGTTGATCCCCCGATAATGCACAAGAACCCTGGAACACTCAATTTTTCAGAAATCCGGACGGCCCACGAAAACGACGCGCTTCTTTTGTGGGCACCGCGCAGTACGTGACGCCGGAGGTGAATTTTTGCACGGTTTCAAGCCGGAATACCGAAGCGGAAACTTCGACAAGCCAAAATGCCGATAAGCCAAAATCCCGATAAGCCAAAACGACGAAAGAGAGAATGCCGACAAGCAAGAATGCCGAAGGCGGAAATATCCGCAGCCAAAATACGTCTAAAAACGCATTTCCATTTCCATGCGCTTTTCTCTCGAATAATTATCGGCGTTTTGCATGCCGGGATTCCGCTTGTCGGCATCGTGAATGTCGTATTTCTGTCCGTTAGGCCAAAATGCCGAAAGCGAGAATACCGACAAACCAAAGTACCGACGGTTAAAATTCTGAATTCAATGCAAATGCCTTCACTTGTCGATTTTATTGTCGGCATTTTTGCGCGTCGAAATAGCATTTGTCGGTAATTTGGCTGTTTGCCTTTCCTCCTTTTTTATATACGTATTTTCAGATGCTCCAAGGCAAAGAAGCCGATGAAACATGCGATTTCTGGGCCCTCGGCGTCACTGTTTTCCAGTTTTTGACAGGTTTTATTTGGCTCTATACGTTTAAATTATTTTAGGAAAGCACTGCTTCCACGACGAGAGCGAGTACCTCATTTTCCGCAGAGTACAGGTTCGATTTTGTCCAAAAAAATTATTTTGGACTTTTAGGAGCTTCTCTACACATTTCCGGACGATTTCCCGGCACCGGCAAAATCACTGGTCGAAGCGCTGCTTGTGGTTGAGGTATTTTTTTTACCATATTGCTCCCATGTAATGTTTATTAAGTTGGGAAAACTGTTTAGAAAACTTGAGGAACTTGACGATTCGTTTCAAAAAATAGTTATTTCTTCCGTTTTTAGAAAAATTCTAATTTTTTAACGTTTAAAGGTAGTGAACACAGCTGCAACAAATTTTTATACTTATTTTAGTGCAAATTTACCTGTTTTTAAGTTGGAAATCGTCTGAGAAAACCTAGAAAAGCTAGAAATTTGAATTTTTTATCCAAAAATCGCTATTTATGTATTTTTAAGCCAAAATTTTTTGACTTATTAATCTTCAAACATCGTGAAAACTATTTTAAAGCACCTTATCTATTTTAGCAAGATATCGCCGTTTTTGAACTCTGATACGTACTTTAGAAAAGGGCTGAAAATTAGAATTTTTGGTCCAAAAAGGGTATTTATTCTACTTTTAGCAAAATTGTAACTATTTAATCTTTAAAAATCGTGAAAAATTGTGAAAAATCTATCTATATTCTATTTTTAGCCCTCTGAACGTCTCGGGAGCGCGTCGCTGGGCGGCATCTCCTCGCTGAAGCAGCACGACTTCTTCGACGGCGTTCAATGGGATTCCCTCGAAAACACTAAGCCCCCGTTTTTAATTTAATGGTTCGTGAATTTTTGTAATTAAATGCATGCTTCTTCTTTCTATTCCTGTAAATTTTTATGCGCTGAATAATTGTGCCATTCCTATAAATATGGATGTCCTGTGATTTTTGCAGTTTTTAGGGATTTTTTCTGTGTTTTTTTATTCGCTAATTTATAAGTATCTAGTCCGTTTTTTCTTGTGCAATGGAATTTGCTATGTAATAAAGTTTTTTGCATTAGAATTTGGTAGTTTTAAAGTTTAAGTGGGTTTTAAACTGCCCTATTTATCAAAAATTAAAAATAGTTACTTTTGGTTGATTTCAAACTTTATTATAGGCTTTTTTCTATCATTATCTATCATTTCTTCTAAAGTGCCGTTTTAATTGTCTTCCGATTCTTCTAAAAAAAATTTTTTTTATAATCTAACCAGATGGTTACAGTCGCTTCGCGACTGCAACCATCTGGCCTTCGGGCTACCCTACATGTCCAACTCCACTACATCCTTTACCACCTCCATCAATACCCCCGATAGCCGAAATCCCCTTCAAAAACTACCTAAATACCTTCCCGATGGCTTAAGATACCTCCCCTAGCCGAAATCCTTTTAAAAAACGAAAATAACGACCGACCGAATGGAATGAGAGAAAAAAAGAAATGAAATCCCCCAGCGAAAATTTTCATCCACGAAACGCGCGCCACCTGGCTCACTATGTCCAAAATCACCCCAACCTCCGTCCCCCACCCCTTTTACTAAGGAAAAAACTTTCAAAGTTAATTTTAATAATTTAAACTAAAACTTTTTCGTACTTTTTTTATCAGTTTGGGGGTTTCTGACCACGCTCTATCCGAATCCGAAGAGAGCTAAGCTCTAGCTCCTTTCCCCTTCGAGTTGAATCCGGGACACGACAGACGGACAGACGGTGACCACAGCAAAATTATTATAGTTGATTGTAAAGTTAAAGATTAATTTAGAAACTGCTGATATCGATCGGAAATTGCAACGTTTTTCTAAATTTCATCGATTATCTCATTTTTTGTAGTTGAAAATGATTTTAAAAATACGATGTCGATTAAAAAAAATGGAAAATTTTATTTTGAGTCTGATCTTCGATGCTTTTAAAGTTTTTTTAACTGGAAAACATCGATCGAAGCCAGATAGAAGATGACGTTTTTTGTCGAAATTCCCGTTTTTCTAAATATTTTTTCATGGATTCTACAGTTTTAGATGGCTTTAAAACTTGGGATATTGATCAGAAATTGCTAATTTCTGTTCTCTATTGTTTATAAGCGTTACATTATTCTAAACATCATTATTTATTTACATTCCTCAATTCAGAGATGGCTGCTTCTCGTGTGGCCATCATCACGGGCGCCTCGTCGGGCATCGGTAAGGCAGCCGCGCTGCTCTTCGCCTCCAAGCAGTTCAAGCTGTCGTTGACCGGAAGGTAAAGCCATCTTATTTTTCCTGATTCATCTATTGCTTAGAAACGAATCGGCGCTGAAGGAGCTGGCCGCCGAGTGCATCAAGCGGGGTACCCCGGAAAATGCGGTACGTTTTGTCGTTAAAAAATGCTTCCTGAAACAGATACACTAATTTTCTTAATTTTACTATTGTTTAATTTTGATTATTAATTTCTATTTATGCCATGAATTTTTAGGTGACCTTCTCGGTGACGGACCTGTCCGCCGACGGCGCCCCCTCCCAAATCGTCTCCCACACCCTGGACAAGTTCGGCCAAATCGACACTCTGGTATGTTTTTTGTTATTCTCAGAATAACCGTAATTTTAGTTTCTTTGGCTGTTATTTTTTGAACAGTTTAAACATTTTTCTAATTAAGAAAACAGAACTTTTTATAATTTTGCAAAAATGCTGTAATTTTAGGTGTTTTTTAAGTATTAAAACAATAGATTTTAATAAGTATCAATAGAACGTCTTATTAAAAATAGATTCGGGTATATTTATATTATTTAACTCAATAATCTATTTTTTAAGGTAAACTCGGCGGGGATCCTGACGAGTGGCCCGGTGCTCGAATCCGGCATCGACGTCTACGATCGCGTGATGGAGTGTAATGTCAGAAGGTATAGCGCTTTTTCGTGCTTTTACAATTCAATACCAATTTTTGAAAAATACAATGGATTCAAAAATATAGATTTTGTCCAATTTTAAATTCAATTTTTAGTAAAAACTAAATGAATTATCTTTTAGCCTCGTCCGGCTGACACGAGAAGCCCTACCCCACATCATCAAGCAGAAGGGCACCATCGTCAACGTGAGCAGCATCAACGGCCCGTGCCCGGTAGGCGTTTCCGCGATTTTGGCACATTTTTTCGGGGAGCTTTGTTAGTAGATTTCCATATTCCGAAATTTCGACGGTTTTGAAGTCACCCCGATTCCGCTTGTATGCGAAAATCTGCAAAGAGTTCGGAATCTCTGTAAAAAACCAAGCAAAAACAAGCTAAAAAAATTTACATCGTCTTTCGGCTTTCTAAAAAACTACATTTTTTAGTTCCCAAACGTCACCTACTACTGCATGTCCAAGTCGGCCGTCGATCAATTCACCAAGTGTCTCGCCCTGGAGATGGCCCCGCACGGCGTTCGCGTCAATGCTGTTTGGTGAGTTTTGATTATTTTAAAATTACGATTATTACTAATTACTAATTTGTGTTTTATAAATGTCAAAAACTAACTTAATTTTGTATTTTCAGCCCGGGCGTGACCGTGACGGAACTGCACCGCCGGGCCGGCCAGAATGACGAGACGTACAAAAAGGTGGAATTTTATTTCGAGAAATATTTATCTAGTTTTTTAGTTCCTCGAGCATTCAAAGACGACGCACGCCCTTGGCAGACCCGGGGAAGCCGTTGAAGTTGCAAAGGTGAGCTTCTGGAGCCAATTTTGTCCAAAATAATTTTTTTACTTAGCCTACAATTAGGGAAGATTCAAGTTTATCTATGGTCTGTTTAGGGAAAATCGTTGTGTAAAAATGTTATATTTTTGTTAAAAACGGTTTAGCGTATTTTGGATCCTTTTTCGTCCATTTTAATGGTTTTGAATTTGCGTTGATGCACCTAAAACCAGTGAGAAATTCCATAAACATCAAAATTTTTTCTAGTTGCGTTGGTTGCCAATGCCTAAAAAATTTTTTTCATAAATTTAAAAATGTGACTTTTAATCCGGAGTCCTTTTTCATCCATTTTACCAATTTTAACTTTTTTATTTGCCTTTCGGGCACTTCAAACCGGTTAGAAATGCCATGATAATAAGAATTTTTCTTGCTTTGATTTTTTCTGGTAGCCAAAGGTTTCTGAAGACATTTTTAATTTTAAGAATATGCGGTTTCTAATCATTTTTGCCAATTTCAGGAATTTGAAGTTTATTTTTTAAAATTGATGTTGCTGTATAAGAAAAACGGCAACTAGGCGGCTTGCAGGGATTAATAATAAGGCTTTATTTTGTTGCGCTCCCCCGCCAACGATCCAGAACTCGAAATTTTTTAATTGGACTTTCTAGGCCATCTACTTCCTCGCCTCCGACGACAGCTCGTTCACCACCGGTGACCTGCTCCGCGTCGATGGCGGCCGAGGCATCATGCATCCACGCTAATTTCGTGGTTTTTTCTTTTTCTGTGCTTTGTATTTATTAGAACCGTTGCCATCCTGTGATACATTTAGCTACCTGTATTTTCTTGTATGATTAGTATTTTTTGGATGCTATTTTGCTCGAAAAAACTCTACAAAACAAACTGCAACTTGTTGTGTCTATTGTCGTGCGTGGTCACGTGGCCAATTGCAATATCGTGTCGCCGGGGAAAAGCGCAAACAAGCTCGTTGCCCCCATAGATGGAAATCGTGTAAACGCGGGCCGCACATCACGATGAGGTTCGCCGTCCAAGTTTCCAGCCCGCTCGTCGCCATCGGGGCTTCGCAGTTTGCGTTGAGCCTGTTACAGGTAAGATTTCTAAAATAGCTTTGTCTAGGTATTTTGAGGAGATTAAATCTCTGTTCTTTTGCACTATCGGGGGGGACGAATTTTTCCAACAATTTCAGGAATGCTTAGGAACGTAATAGTAAAAGCTGATATTTTGATAGCGTTTTAGTACATGTAAACATTAAATTCAGTTTTTGGAGAAATTTACCTACATCTTAAATGATTGCCTATGTGTAAACTGTAAACCTATGTAAAAAAAAGACTTTTGAATGCCGAAATTTTGGTCAGAAAACTGCGTTTATTGTCGAAAAATCTATTTTTTTGCGTCTTTTAGCAAATTTTTGCGCTTAGGAATAGTGAAAATCAATTTAGAAACACCTCTGATATGTATTAAGAAATTTCGGTCAGAAGCCTTTATTGTCGAAAAATCTATTTTTTGCGTCTTTTAACAAAAATTTGAAAAGGTTTTACGCTTAGAAATAGTAAAAAAATGAATTTAGAAACAATCCTTGTATGTATTAATAAAAATTGCATTCTCAGAAAGTAGTTTACTTCCCCCGATATCGCTAAAGATCTCCGAAATTGTTAAAAAATGATCGCGTTTCGAGGGCCTTTTTTAATTTTTGTGTTAGAAAGTTTGGGCGCAGAAACAACACCCGATTTCCAGGTGGTCTTCATGTTCTTCTACGTGAAGGTCTACCTGAACGTGTTCCACGTCTCCCAGTGGTGGTTCAACGTCGCCCAGGCGCTGTTCATGGTCTGGAATGCCGTGAATGACCCATTATTCGGGTATCTACAAGTAATATTTTATCACTTATCATTTTTTTATGTATTCTTTGACTGTTTTTATTATTACGTTTTTTAACGATAATTTACGTTTGTTTTAGGACAGCAACACGGGGTGGATGCGCTCCCGGACGGCCGTTTTGACGCGGTTTTCCCCGTTTTTATGTGGATCATTCGTTCTTTTATGGTTAGTTTCTTAAAAACAATTATAATTTTTTTATTTTAGGTTTCCTTGGGATATCAGCGGCTCGTGGCTTGAAGGGCTTCATCTCATCTGCGCCCTTTTTCTCTACGATGCGTTCTTTAGGTAAAAGGTTTTGAGCTTCTAAAAAATTGGTAACTATTTCTCTTTTGCGTCGTTTTTAAGCATAAAAACATTCTAAAATTTAGCATTTTATTTTGAAAATCGGGCTTTTCGTTTAAAATTTCATGAAAAATGACCGTAAACAAGTAAAAATTGTTAAGAAAACGTGTTCTAGAAAAGTTATAGCAAAAGGTTTTTCGCAATTTCAGGGGGACTAATTTTTTTCCTACGAGTGCAGAATACTTAATGACGTAAATAGTAAAAAACGTAAAAATAGTGAAAAAAATTAAAACGTATTTAATTTTTAATTAAATATGTTATATTTTTTAGATATTTAGATGATGTTTTTAGTGAAATTTAAATATATTTGAATAGAATTTGGTCGAAAATCGGCGATTTTTTAGCGAAAAATCTATTTTTTTTGGAGTTTTTAGTCAAATTTTGTAACGTTGACGCTTAGGGATAATAAAAAATAGTTTAGAAACACTGTAGCATTATTTAGATTCGAACCGTTGGATCCTAAGAAAGAAATTAGTACCCCCCGATAATGCAAAAGAACCAAGAAAAACCCTGCTCAATTACCTTGAATTTCTTTCAGCGCGATGGGCGTCTCGTGGGCAGCGCTGTTCGCCGACAGCACAAAAGACGCAAGATCCCGGGCTGCAGCCATGAAATATTCACAGGTTTTTGGAAGTTTTAAAAAATTATTTTACTGATCTAGATGGCGATTCTCGGGTCGGTGAATGGGATCGCGATCATGGAGAAGGCCAGCCACAGCTTGGAGGTGTTTTGCCATAAAATTATTGTATTTTTTTTGTTTAGAACTTTTCCGCCTTTCAAACGGGCGCGATTCTGATGGCGCTGCTCGCACTGTTCTGCCTACTCAGCGCCGGAAGTTATCGGCCGACGCTGCCGATTTCTAGGTGAGAAATGTTGTATTTTTGCTTATTCGGTCCTCTAGTTGTAAAAAATGGGTGCTTTTGCAATATCGGGGGGGGGGGGAAGACCGAATTTTTTCCTATGGGCCCAGAAATACCTAGTATACGTATTGTAATATTGTTTAGTTATATTTAGTTTTTATTTCAAAGCGAAAACAATAAAAAAATCGAAGATTTTTTGACATTTTGGTAAAAAAACGTTTTACATCTTTTTACTAAAAATTTTTATTTTTTTTGTACGTTTAGGAATAGTAAAAATTATATTTTAGAAAACTTCTTCTATTTCTATTCGAAAAACTGATTCCCCCCCGATAATGCAAAAGAACCGAAAAATGTATTTTGTTGATTTAGGGGTATGAAAAGCTTTAATTTCGGTTTTTAGAGAAAAAGATGACGAGGAACGGCTTCTAAATGGAGATGACGTCGCAAGTTCCGAGCACGAAACCGGCACGTGGAGTCACGCCTTCGAGTTGACACGCCAAACTGTTCGCCAGCACGACTTCCTCTTCATCATCGCCACCAATTTTATACATATTATGAGGTAATTCGCATTTTTAATAGATTGTAACCTGTGTTTTTGAAATTAAGCTTTTTTTTGCTTCGTGAATATAATTAAATGCGACACGGTTATTTTTACTATTATTTGAAGTAATTTAATAGAGCCAATTTTTATCAGTCGGGAGATGCATAGCAATGTAACGTATTTTAATAGGTTTTTCGTGAAACTGAACCAGATTTAAGGCATAAACCTAATTAGAAACTTAAAAGGGGTTGAATTGCGAAACTTTGGTCGAAAATCAGTCACAGTTACGCGAAAAATCTACATTTTTGGGTTTGGATCCTATTTTGTAAAGTTTTACAGTGTAAATTTATAAAATTTAATTATATTTAAGCTTGAAAAATCTGAAAAAAATAGACATTTTTAGGCCGGATTTTTGGACGAAAAATTGATGTCTTTGTGTTTTTTTGGCAAAAATTTGTAATTTTTTTGCGTTTACGAATCGAAAAACAGGTTTGGAACCCTTTTTTCGTTTGATGTTAGAAAAATTTGATGCTAAGAAAAACACCCTGGAAATATCACAGAGCTATTTCTAACCCAAATTTTTTAGAAGTGTCGCCCACCTGAACTTTGCCTCGATCACGACGGAAATCCTCGTCCCTCAAGACATCTTGCCGCGCGGCAGCCTGAAGCTCAGCATTTTCTACGGCTTTTGCACTCTTGGACCGCAGGTCAGTCTCCCGCAGGACCGCAGACCGCAAGTTAAAAGCTAAATTTATCGTCTGATTCTTCAGCTGATCATCATCGCGCTCGAAAAGGTGGTCGTCAGGGTCGGCGCGGGGAGGCTGCTGCTTTTTAGGTATTTTCGTTTTTTTTTCAAACAATATCGTTTTCAGCTATCTCGTCTCCGCCATCGCTGCCATCTGTTTCTCATTCTTCTCCGGCTGGCCCTACATTGTCATGCTTTTTATGCTCATTGATGCGTAAGTTACATGATTTTTTTATTTATGAATTCAAAATTTTTTGATTAATTTGAGTTAATTCACTTTATTTTCTTACATTTTGTCTAATTTAATTTATTTCAATTAAAGTGATTTTGTATTTCTGTAAATATAAAATGATTTAATTCATTTTCAATCGGTTTTTTACAGAATCACCGTCCACTCGGCCGCCCCGTTGTTCAACATCATCATCTCGGACTACATTGACGAGGACACGAAGCGGTATTCTAGGCGGTGCGTAATTTTTTTTTATATTTCCCCCAAAAATCTCTGCTAGCCTGCCCTTTCTTAAAAAATCTCTGCTAGCCTGCCCGTTTCCTAAAGAATTTGTTCTAGAACGTCTTTTTTAGAATATTTTAGTGTATCTGTTTCAGCTCGCCGATCTCGTCGTTCGTCTTCTCGCTGAACGCCCTCTTCACCAAGCCCGCCCAATCCGTCGCTCCGGTGCTGATCGTGCAGCTGCTCAACGCGTACGGATATCAGGTCAGGATCTCTCTCTGTGTCTATGTCTCTCTCTCTCTCTCTCTCTCTCTCTCGCTCTCGCTTTATCTTGCTCTTACTGCCTCTCTCCAGCTGCCTCTTGCTCTGAATCGAAACTTTTTAAAATTTATTGCTCTCTCTGTCTATGTCTCTCTCGCTCTCTCTCTCTCTCTCTCTCTCTCTCTCTCTCTCTCGCTCTCTATCTCTGAATAAACCATTTTTTTCAGGCCTACCTCGTCGACAAACTTTCAACTGAAGCCCTCCGCGCCGCCGTTCAATACGTTCTCTACGGCACGCCACTCGTCCTCGGTGCCCTCCAATATTGTGTCTTCTCCCGTTACTCTCTTTTGCACAAACCTTCCAAAGAACTTGTGATATAACCCTCCTCCCTCCCACTGCCTCTATTTCCCTTTTTTGTATTTAATAATACTGTCTATGGATACTCTTTTTGTCTCTGTATGCATCGTTTTTTGCGTGTGACTAACCTCATTCCCAGCGGCTCACCCTCCTGGTTGTTTTTTTTTGCGGGTTTTACTAATAAAAGCTTTGAAGTTCAAGTTGTTTATCGTTTTTCCCGACGCGTTGAATAGAGCCAAAAAGATACATTTACACGAAAATGGATTTAATGTTTTTATTTCACCATTTTTTCGGATTTTCAACGATTTTTTGGAAAATACGCTTTCCCCTTACGACTAAAATTATAATAACTGGTCGAAAACTGCATTTTCTAGCAAGTTTTCGGCTTAAAAGCTAGTTTTTTTCGCGTAGTTTTTGGTGCCGAGTTCGAATTTTACATTTTTATACTACAAAAGATTGACTTTAGACCATAAACTACAAAAAGTCGACGCCCCGGAATGTTTTTTGTGGCTATCTGTAGTTTGTACCCTAAAGTTAAGTTTTATAAAATAGTTTTTCAATTTTTTGTTTGCAAGAATCTTCATCATCATCAAAATATGGTTTTCGCTATGAGCGACGCCCAAATTGAGAATCAGCACCAAAAACCATGCTAGAAAGTGTATTCAGAAAGCAACTATCGTTGTTTTATGGCTAAAAACAAATTGAATATGTTTTGGAAAATGCGGCCTAGGTATTCGAAATAGAACTTTTTATTTATGGGTAATTAGAGGGTTTATATCTGTTTTCAGGTCAATGTTATCAACACTACACGCGGTGCACGAGATGAGGGCGTGGATCCCGTGCTCGTTGCTGTCGGTGTCCATGGTCAGCTTTTAAACGCTCCGATTTTTTATATTTAGGTCCCGTTTGCCACCCTATCCCTCGGCGTCGGCGCCATTTCGTGGGTGACGCCAAAGGACGTGTTTTTGGTAGGTATAAAGCTTCTTCTTTTAATGGAATTTGTTTAGACGCTCGACCACCACCTCTACGAAGCCTACATGCGGCTGTGTCTCTTCGTTTTCGAGAATTGGTCAAGTGTACAGGTATTTTAAGGTGTAGATTAGATGTTCCAGTTCTGTTTTTAGATTTCTCTCTACGGCGATGTCGAACCATTGAAGAGCGCACGAGAAAGAGCGGTGATAATGTCGAATCATCAGTCTAATGGTAGGCTTTATATCTTTTTTCGAAAGACCGAATTTTTGTAGCGAAATTTGTTTAACAATGTAGTAGAAAGCGTATTTATTAGGTTTAGAAAAAAAAACTATCTACATTTCGAAGGTTAAACAATTTCACGAACTGGATTTTGAAATTGAAAAAGATTTTGGAACTTACTTTAGGCAAAAAAATCGTATTTCAGGGTATCCTGATGAGAAAGTGGTTAAAAAGATTTCATTAACTTTTTTTTCGGCTAGCTTTCAGGATTTCTGGGAAAACTACCTACATTGGAATATTTTTATTTTTTTTGCGACAAATCGGTAGTTTTAAGACCAAAAATCTATATATTTTCTTTTTGGCTAGAAACTAACGGTTTTTATGTAGTTTTTTTTTTGCAAATACTAAGAGATGTTATAGGTTTTGGAATTTCGGAAATTCGAAATTTTTTACCTAAAGTTGGCCGAAATCGGTCGTTTTTCTCTTTTTTTTGAAAACGTAATTTTTACTTTGTGTAAGTTTAGTTTAAATTTTTAATTTTTTAACGCTAAAAAAGCAAGTTTTGAAAACAAAGTTTAAACGTGGAAAAGATTTTTCACTTAATAAACGTGCTATTTTAGTCGACTGGGCGGTGATCATGGGCCTGGCTGCACGGCAGAAGGCCAACGAGCGCGGCTTCCGCGTCATGGTCAAGCACGCCATCCACTATGTGCCCCTGTTTGGGTGGTACATCTTTCAAGTAACGTTTTTAAAAACAAGCAATTTTTCGTGTTTTTTAGCATGGCTACATCTACGTGCGTCGATTCGGGGAGTTTGTCAGCACGCCTGTGCGCAGGCAGCTGCATTTTTTGGATGGTTTACCGGAGCCCTATTGGCTGCTCATTTTCCCGGAAGGCACGAGGTGAGGGTTTAAAGGGGCTGAGACAGGCGAGGATCGACCCCTAGTACTGGCTAGATCTCGACAGAAAAGTGACACTCCTAGAAACGCATTTTTTCTTTTATTTTGACCTTTTATCTCCATGGAGAATCCAAAGAAACCACGTATTTTGGAACGTCTCGTAGCTGGCTGGACCTAGTAGATCCATGGGATCGATTTGGCATTTCCTGGTGCCTTTAAAGGGGCAATAAAGTCATAATTGATTATGTAATTTTGTTACCCATGGATTCTCTATAGATTTTGTCTTCTTTCGAGTCTTAATTTTCTTAATTTTATATTTTAATTTCTCAATCTTTCATTAAAAATTTTGTTCTATTAAGCCGCTAAAATATCTGCTTATGTTTCCCTAACCCTAAAAATTCCCTCTAGCTCTTTAAAACCTTTCATTTTTTTATTTCTTTTCATATTTTGTTCTTAACACATCACATTTCTTAACATAGAAACTATTTTAACTTTTAATTAATGTAATTTTTAAATTTAAGAAACCACCTTTTTCAGATTCACAGCCAGAAAGCCGAAGCTGATCGAGGCGAGCCAGCAATTCTGCGAGAAAGAGGTACAAATTTTTTTTTTAATTGGCAAAAAAATTCAACCCTAGGGAATGCCAAAACTCTCTCACGTACTAGCGCCTCGCGTCGGCGGACTGCACCTCGCCCGGGAGCACCTGAAAAGCCTGGACGCCGTCTACGATGTTACGATAGGATATGGGCAAACCAGGTGAATTTTATAGCGAATTTTTGTTTTTTGTTCTTTTAAAGTTTTGAATAACAGAATGAATTTTCCAGGCTTCCCGGTCGTGCCGGAATCGCTCCCGGAATGTTTGAGTACGTTTGCGGAGCCAAGGCGCGTCGTCTATGTGTCCATATTAAAAGGTATGTGGGCTAAGCTTTTGGTGTGTTTCCGTCAAAATGCCGACATTTCATAATGTCGAAATTTGTAAGGTCAAGATTTTATAATGTCGAAGTTCAGGATGTTTGAATTTACATAAGATAATTTTCCCGGAAAACCCCCGATTTCTACGCAAAAAAAATTTGGACATTCTGAATTTCGACATTATGCTATTTAGGTATTATGAAATTTCGATATTATGAAATTTCGACATTCTGTTTATCGACATTATGAATTTCCAAAAATATGAGATTTCGACATTATGAAATTTCAACAGGTGAAATTTCGACGTTATGAAATTTCGACATTATGAATTTCGACATAATGCTAGCAAATCGTTTTTAATAATTGACGTTTTTCTAGATTTCCGGTCTCCGAGGTGCCCACCGACAAGCAGGCATTGAAGGCGTGGCTTTATCAACGATACCAAGAGAAAGACAGGTCAGCCTTTTTTTGCTGGCTACGATTTTCATGAATTTTTAGGTTACTGACGCAATTCCAAGAAACGGGCGAATTCCCGGATGTCGTTTCTGCCGACGAGCCCACCCTCTCCATAGCTAAAACGCTGCCCTCGACGATATTCTTTGTGGCGGCGCTGGCGGCCCCGTTCTTTTCGACAAAGGTTGGTTTTGAAGAAAAATACCGACAAGTCGAAATGCCGTCAAACGAAAAGCGGCCATGCAAAATGCCGATAGCAAAAATACCGACAAAAATTTTGCCAATCTAAAATGCCGATAAGCCATAGGGCTATTGACCATAATGCCGCCTCGAAACTGCTTAGAATCAAATGTTCTTTTCCTGTAATGTGGCCTTTTTGGTGTCGGTATTTCGGCTGGCGGCATTTTGGATGTCGGCATTTTGTCTGTCTTGGTTTTGATATGGCAATTTCGAAAATCGACATTTGCGCTGTATGTAGTTGAATGTCGGCGTTTTTCGCCCCATTTTTCGTTTGTCGGCGTTTTGAATGCCAGCTTATCAGGTTTCGATTTTTCGTTTGTCGACATTTTGTCGATTCATCCATTTTTAGTAGAATTTTAATTTTTTAGGTCCGTACCACGTACCTGTGCACAATGGCCTCGTTCCCGTTGCTGATCGGATGGCTACACCTGCGGAAATGTGTCTAAAATGGTAGATTTTCTTTGTTTGATTAGTGCCTAGCCCGATAGGAATTAAGTATCTCACTCTTTTTGTTGAATTTTCATTGGTTTATTGATATCGATTGTGATATTGGGATCCTATTGTTGATGCTTCATTTAACGTGCCTTTGCCATCACCAATTTGCTCAACGTGCATTACGGATAAATGGGTTTCTTGCTTTTTTATGGCCTTTTTTGCTCCGGGCGGCCTTCCTTCTGGTTTCCTTCGACGGCTAGAGTTTCGGGTTCATATTTTTCTATTTAAAGGAAATGGTTGAAACCGGCGGCGACGACTTCGACAAGGGCGGCTTCATCTACTGCTGGCCGGACAACTTCAAGACGTCGCGCCGGAAGTAGGAGAATTCTCGAAAGTCGGTCCGTTTTTGTTTATTTTTAAAAACTTAGGGGAATGATTATGGCTTTTTTTAATATTACGCTTTATGTGGATTAACTAAATCATCGAATTGTCAGAAAATTGAACAAATTTTTTGTTCTAGAAAATGTAGGAATTATTTGGTTGTAGTTTTTAACGTTATTAAGCCGTTTTAGAGAATTGATTAGAGTTTGCGTACTTGCTGAAGTCGTTGAATCGTAGTTTCGAAGCTGTTGTTGGAATAGAACCCGAAATTTATCGTTTTTTGAGAACAAAATTGGAGGATTTTAGTTTAGAAATAGCTTATCAAAATGGCCACAAAATAGGCGAGGGGCAACAGGAAAAAGAAGGGCTTTTGGGCTGCGTTATCTTCATCGTGGGGTTTTCGTGTGGTGGAGGCGACGATCGGCTCGTCGGTGAGCACGGCGAAACGGGCGAGGAAGCCGGTTTTTGTGTCGGCCGACGGGCGCCAGTACAGCTAAATAGTGACATCGA